AGGGGTACGAGGAGGAGGGGAGTGGGATCAGGACGAGCGGGGGCATGAGAGGAGGGATTAAGAGAAGCTGGGGGACGACGTCCTCGTCCTTGTCCTCGCCCTCGTCCTTGTCCTCCTCCTCCTTCCGCTCCTCCGTGTCGTGGTGCTTCCCCCCCCCCCCGCCCCTCCCGCCCCCCCCCCCCCCGCGGCTCTTTTCTCCCCGCGCCAGCGCAGGGCACTCCGTCACCGCGGCGCGCCGCGCCCCCGCCCCCACCCCCCGCCGCCGCGGCAGCCTGCAACAGCTGCCGCGCGGGGGGGGTAAAGGAGACGCCGCCATATCCTCTGACATGGCCATCCCTGTGCGCGGCAAGTGGTTTAGGGTGGCAGTTCCCCCAAACAAGTCCCCTCTCCCTACCCTTCCCTATTGGCCTCGCCGCACCCCGTTCAATACCTTGCGCCACCCCGTGCCAAAGAACTTGCAACGATTCCTGCACGCAGTGCCATGCAAGACGACCCTGTAACACCCAACGATAAGGTGTACACGTGGCCGGCCCTACAATGCTCTGCATTCCAGACCCTTGCAATGCGGCAGTGCCATTCAATGCCCTGCCATCCGGCCATGCAATACCCTGCGGATCCCCACGGGAGCCAGGACCCTGGAAGAACGACGCAGGGTACAAGGCTGGTCCTGGGGAAAAAAACCCTCGGGTCTAAGACGGGTTCCCTCAGGACCCCTTCCTTCCCTTCACGGCGGTTCAGGCTCCTACAATTCCCTGATCAGGGCAGTTCGCCCACAGGTCATTTCTGGATTGGTTGTTGAAGGTACTCGAATTGCCAACTTCTGGCTGAATGCAAAGGGCCCGACATTGCCTGCACACAACAAGACCCATGCCATGCGAAGCCAGACAGGAGAAGGGATGAGGAAGCATGGTGGACGGGGTAGGGAGCGGGGAGGGGAAGAGGTGGAGACTGAGACAAAGGAGGAGGAAGGAACATAATGGGAGTGGAGGAAACATGAGACGAATGATGATGGGGTGGGAAAGTGGGAGGGGCGGAGAGGGGGGGGGAGAATAAGGGAAAATGCATTCCCTTTCCCCTGCTCGTTCTACTTCCTCCTCTCCTCCTCCCCTTCTCCCCCCTCCCCATTTCTCCCTTTCAGGGAGAAACGGGCAGGGGTGAGGAGGAGGGCGAGGAGGCAGAAAACCCAAGAGAGGCGTGCTCATGGACACAACGTGGCTATCCTTCCGTCAGCGGCACGGGGCATGCCATTACATACACGGACACGGTTCCATCCCCCGCAACCCACCCATCCCTGAACCCGATCTGGCCGAGATAGCCTCCCTCCTTCCGCTCCCTCCCTCCCTCCTACTCCTCCTCCTCCTCCTCCTCCTCCCAGCTTTAGGACGAGTTGCCGCTGGGGTGAGGCCTCTCACCCAAACTCCTTCCGTTCCCTCCATCCGCTTGTCTCCTCCTCCTCCTCCTCCTCCTCTTCCTCCTCCTTGTCCTCCTCCTCCTTCTCCATCTCCTCCTCCTCCTCATCATCATCATCACCACCACCACCACCATTATCATCATCCTCATCAGCATTATCATCATCATCATCAACATCATCGTCATCGCCACCACCACTACCATCTACCATCCTCCTCCTCTTCCACATTGTCATCGTCACCACCACGGCCACCACCACCACCGCCGTCATCGCCATCATCATCATCATCATCATCATCAGCATCATCATCCTCCTTTTCCGCCACCGTCATCATCCTCATCCTCCTCCTCGTCGTCACCATCATCGTCATGACCATAATCAGCGCTATCAGCATCGTCATCAGTATCATAATCATAATCACCAGCATCGACAGCATCATCATCACCATCAGCATCAGCATCATCATCATATTCATCATCTTCATCAGCAGCATCATACTAACAAGCATAATCATCATCAGCATCAACATCGGCATCATCATCCGCATCATCATCAGCACCAACATCACCAGCACCGCAACCATCGACAGTAAGATGAGCACTAACAATAGCATCAGCATCGGTATTTCAACTGATAAAAGAATCATGGTTGTTATCATAATCAATAGTATCAATATCACCATCGTCAACATCATCATCAACTGTATGATCATCATCATCATCATCACCATCACCATCACCAACATCAATATCAACAGCATCATCATCATCATCAGCATCATCATTAGCATCATCATCACCATCATCATTATCATCATCAGCAGCATCGTCAGCATCATCGCCACCACCATCATCACCATCCGCATCATCATCATCAGCATCATCATCGTCATCATCAGCAACATCATCACCACCACCTCCAGCGCCAGAACAACCTCCACCATTATCAGCAGTATCATCCGCATCACCAACATCATCACCAACATCATCGTCGAGATCATCATCATATCAGCATCAAAGTCATCATAAAAAAACATCGTCATCAACATCATCATACTCAACATCTGAATCATCAGCACCATCATCTTGTTCATCACCATCACTAACATCAGCATCGGCATCAACATCATCATCGTCATCATCAACAACATCATCAGCAGCACCCTCACCATCATCAACGTCTGAAAAGACAGCGTCATCATAATCCTTGCAAGTGTCACCATAATCATCACCAACATCACCATTTCCATCATCATCCGCATGAACGGCATACTCATCATCAGCATCATCATCACAATCATCATCAGCACCATCATCAGCATCATCATCATCATTGTCATCATCATGATCATCGTCATCGTGATCAGCATCATCATCTTTATCATCATCAACATCATCATCATCCATCCCACCTCCTTCCCCATCCCACCTTCTCATCAACCTTCACCTCCCTCTCTGCTCCCGCATCCCGTTCCCCTGCATCACAACTTCCCCCTCCTCCTCCTCCTCTCCTTCCTCCTCCTGCCTCCTCCGTCCTCCTCCTCCCCCTCCTCCTCTCATCCCCATTCCTCCTCCCTTCTCCCTCCTCCGCGCCTCCCTCCTCCGCGCTGCCTCCCCCTCCATTCCTGCTCCCTCCCCGCGGTCTACCCCCCCCTCCCTGCTCCACTTCCATGCTCCTCCTCTCACCCTCCTCCGGCCCCCCCCTGGGTCCTCCTCGTGACTCCGCTCCGGCCCTCCCCGCCCGCAGTGCCGCTCGGCCGCTGCCGCGCCACCGCGTCCGCGCGCCGCCTCGTCCACGGCGGATCGCGCGAGTCCAAATGTATTTGAAATGCCTTCCTTTGACACGAAGCAGACGGGCCCCGATGGAAGCCTCCTCCTCCTCCTCCCCCCCCCTTTCCTCCTCCTCCCTCCTCCTCCTCCTCCTCCTCCTCCTCCTCCTCCTCCTCCTCCTCCTCCTCCTCCTCCTCCTCCTCCTGGCGCGTGAGCAGCAGCATGCATATGACTAGTAACATGCGCCGTGCGACCGCAGCCGGCTTCCACGCAAACGCTCCTGAAGATCGGCCTTGCGCCGCGACAGTCAGATCGCTGGCAGAAGCACTGACTCGTCGCACCATCCCACAATCGACTGTGGCATAGCCACAAACTGTCGGAGGCCCGCCCGGATTGCGCCCCACAGGCGCTGGGCCCCGCGAGTGGCGCCTGCCAGGGAGGGCACCTGACAGTCCCTGGGCCGGCGCAGGCCTCCAGAGCCCGAGGACGGCGAACCGGCTCCAGGACCTGCCCGACCGCCGGCACCTCTGGACGGACCTGGCGGCGAGGGACGCCGAATGCTCGCATGCGGGCCCCGCTCCTGGCTGGGCCAGCTCTGGGCCCAGGAGAAGGAGGGGCGGAGGAGGAGGAGGAGGAGGAGGAGGAGGAGGAGGAGGAGGAGGAGGAGGAGGAGGGGGGAGGGCGAGGACGAGGAGGAAAGGAGGGGGGGGGGGTGATCCCTTAGGGCCTTCTGCGTCGTCGGAGGCTGCCTCTGACCGCATCGCCATCGCAGTCGGGTCCGGTATTTACACGGGCGGCAGCAGGGAGGCCCCCCGAGGGCGCCTGGTGCCGCAGGTGTGGCGCTGGGGAGAGAAGGCGAGGGGGGAGGGTAGGAGGAGAGTGGCGACGAGATGGAGGCAGGAGGGAGTAGAAGGAAATGAGGAGGGAGGAGAAGGGAGGAGGAAGGAGAAGGAGGAGGAGGAGGCGGAGGAGGATGAGGAGGGGAGAACTGAGAAGTGAGGAGCGCGGAGGAGGAAAAACAGGAGGAGAAGATACAAGGGAGAAGGGATGATGGAGAAGCTGGGTGCGGTCGCGCCTTCTCTGACATCCCCCCTCCCACAAATCCCTTCCCGCTGTTAATATGTGTCCATGGGGGGACACAGGGCGCATTAATCCCGCACTGGACCCCATCATGGGATGCGCAATCAGAAAAGACAGCTTTGACCAGTGGGTACGGGGGGGGGATGAGCATGAGGGTGAGCAGGATGGCGAGTTGGATCAACAGCATCACAGCATGAGCATGAGGGGGGGGGGCAGAGGATAGGAAAGGAGGAGCGGCAACGACGAAGGTATCATCGAATCAAGAGATGTAGCCCGCTCTGGCCCAGAGGGAAGGAGATCAGCGATCCTGAAATGTGGCCAGCGTTGCAGTGGGAACTCTATCTGCGTAGGACCGAACATGTGCCGAAAGACCAACGGTATGGTGTCCTGTGAGTGCGTGTGCGTGTGGCAAAACATTTCGCGGCAGAGTCGGGAGAACACATCTCGTGTGGGCCAAGACAGCGTCACACTCCTGCTGGCCGGGTGCAGCAAATGTCTTGACACACATCGCCACTGGCACAAAGGATACTCCGTCTATGGTGCGCCTGTGCAGGCCCCTCATGTTTACAAGGCGCACCCCCCCCCGAACGTTCCCCCCTGGCTGAGTGATGCGGCGACAAGGCGAAAGCGAGGAGACCGAGGAGCAGCAGGAAGGCGAGGCGGAGAAGGAAGAGGAGAATGAAGAGGCAGAAGAGACGGAGAAGAACAAGAATGGGGAGGAGGACGACGATTCGGACGAGGAGGCGGATGGAGGAGGGGCAGGATGGGAAAACGAATGAGAAAATCGAGAAAGGAACGATATCGCGGCGATATGACTCAGTGCGCCGGGGCCCAGAAGAAGCCGCCCGTCTAGCCGCTGCCGAAGGCCACGTACCCGCCGTGGCGCTGGCCCAGCAGGTCCTGGCAGAGACCCTCGCCCGCCTCCTGTTGCTTTTCGTGCTGCCCCCTGCCGGCCCCTGAAGCTTCTGCCTCCTGCTCCGCCTGCTCCCCGTGCTCCTGGTCCCGATACACCTCCTCCTCCTCCTCCTCCTCCTCCTTCTCTTCCTCCTCCTCCTCCTCCTGGTCCTGCTCCTGGTCCTGGTCCTGGTCCTGCTCGTCCCCCTCCTGCTCCTCCTCCCTCCTCCCTCCTCCTCCTCCCTCCTCCTCCTCCTCCTCCTCCTCCTCCTCCTCCTCCTCCTCCTCCTCCTCCTAGCCATGCCGGCGCGAGCAGGGCGCCCCGCAGCTCGGGGTTCTCGCGCGCTCGCCAGCGCTATCCGAAGTGGCGCAGCCGGCCAGGGCCATTGGATGGCATGGCGCGGGGCGCAAACGGATGCCGCTCTGGCAGAGGCTCCGTGGCGCCAGCGCGCGGTCGAGCCGGAGACCACGGTGATCGTCCAGGCGGCCGTCTCGTCAGCGGTGGAGGCGGCAGGCCGCGCCGTTGGGTGCTCGAGTGCCGCGGTCGCCAGCCCGCATGCGTCCCAGCGGGCGGCGAGCCTGGTGACGGGCGAGGTGCCAGCAACGGCGCGGCCCACGGCTAGGCCGTCCTCCACGCCCATGGCATCGCAGCCGCTGGCGATCCTGGACGGATCCGTGGCGCCGCCATCGCCGCAGCCAGGGGGGATTCTGGGCCTTGCACGCAGTTGAGGAAGGAGAAGGTCCAGAGCTCTGGTTGAGCGAGCAGCGTCGCCCGCAAGTCCAAGGCGACGCTGGACATCGAGCGGGCGATGCAGGCCCAGAAGGACTGCGTGAACGTTTGCTCGAAAAAGGCGGTGAAGGAGCAGAAGGTACAGAAGGAAAAGAAGCACCTGAAGTACGTACAAGAAGGTCAAGGTGCTGGAGTGAAGCGAGTCGAATGGTTCGAGCTCGCCGACACCGAGAGCTTCGTGTCCGAGAGGGGCACCACGATGAGGCGGTGATGGACTGGTACCTGGAGGTGAGCCCGCGGCGCTGGGCGTCGTCGATGCGGGCTCGTGCATCGATGAGTTGCAGGTCAAGGCCAGCGAGTCCGGGACGTCGGGGATCGTCGAGGGGGGCTCGCGTAGCGACGGCATGCTGTTCGGGCTCGTCGGGTCGGAGGCTGGCGGCATGAGCTTGCAGTCTAAGGGGTCCCGGGAGGCCGAGCCGCCGTCGAAGGTCGGAGGCCTGCCGGAGGCCGTGGTCGAGGCCTACCACCTGGCGATGTTCCAGAGGGCCTCAGGCGCGCAGGAGAGCCGCCTCGCTCAGGTCAGGGGAGGCTCGAGCATGACGTGCTCGAGGTGATCGGCAAGAAGGTGAGCATGCAGTGCGAGTTCGCGCCGTCGGAGGTCGCCGAAGGGGGCGGCTCGTGGTACAGGGGGGAACTGGACAAGGAGAACGAGTTCGGGACGTCGGAGGTCGTCGATGCGGGCTCGGTCTACAAGGGGAAGCTGGACAAGGTGATCCAGTTCGGGACGTCGGAGGTCGTCGGGGAGGGCTCGCGTGACGGCGAAAAAGCTGGTCCAGGCGGACGAGTTCGCGGCGTCGGTGGTCGTCGATGTGGTCTCGTGCTTCGCGGGGAAGAAGGTCGGGGAAGAAAACAAAGAATCACGTCGGGGGTCACCGTCGGGGGCTTCCAATCCGGGGGGGTCGAGGAGGCCGTGGGCCACGTGTTGCACCTGCGTGTGTAGGGGCTCGTCGGGCAGGGATCGGTGTCCGAGTCGGAGCCCCTGCTATGCTCCTCCGAGGTCCAGGCCGCCGTGCGCAAGGCGTTCGCAGGTGTGCTCGACTCCAAGAGGGTGCTCGTGATCGAGACGCTGGCAGGCGTCACGGGGCCTCCGGGCGGGTGAGGCTGGGATGCTGGCTCACGGGGGGTCCTTCCCCCGTTCGCGGGATGCGAGGGAGTTGCTCGGCTCCTTTCTCTCATTTGTCTCATTTGCCTCCTCCTCCCCCTCCCCCTCCTCCTCCTCCTCCTCCTCCTCCTCCTCCTCCTCCTCCTCCGCCTCCGCCTCCTCCTCCTCCTCCTCCTCATGTTCCTCCTCTTTCGCCTCCTCCTCCTCCTCCTGCTCATCCTCCGCCTCCTCTTCCTCGTGTTCGCCCTGCTCCTCCTGTTGGTTGGTCCTCGACTGGGTGCACCAACGATGTAGCCGATCCGTCCGAAAAGCGTGGCGACGGCCAGAAAGGAGCGAACAACCCAGCCCAGGCCCGAGAAGGGCGAGTCGTTGAAAGGCGGGGCGGCAAGGCGAGCCCCACTCTCATTCGGGGCCCGGGGGGACGACGCCGACGCCCAGGGCCAAGAGCCCGCCGCATAGTCCTTCCCCAGAGGCAGCGGCGCCGCGGGGCCCAAGGGGATCCACTAGGGCAGGATCTCCTCAAGGAGCTGGTCTCGCTCCGGGTGGAGCACCCCTGGCCAGCGAGCCTTGGCCTCTTGAGAGAAGCCCTGGGCGAGGAATTCGCAAGTAGGGGCGCGGTGCGCCTTGGCGGGGGACGTTCACCACGACCCGCCAGGGGCCCGGCGCTGCAAGATTCGATAAGCACCTCACGGGTGCCAATAACGCCCTCCCCCCACTGCTTATTGCATGATCGCCAGCCATGTAACTCACGTGGGCCAGCAGGAAGCGGGTCGGCATGATGTTCGGAGCCCCTAAACGGCGCTGATGGTGCCTCGATTCCCCTCTCCCCGCAGGTCGGCGAACACAGGTGCCTCCGCCAACGGCCCGACGCCGTCTCAAACCCTCTTCCTCCTCCGTGTCCTCCTCCTCGTCCTCCTCCTCGTCATCCTCCTTGTCCTCCTCCTCGTCCTCCTCCTCGTCCTCCTCCTCCTCGTCCTCCTCCTGTCAGCCTCCTCGTCCTCCTCCTCCTCCTCCTCCTCCTCCTCCTCCTTCGCCTCGGTCTCGTCCCTTCCTCCTCATCGTCCGATCCCCCCCCTCCCTCCTTTGTCCTCATCTCAACCAAATCGTCCCTCCTCCGCCTCCTCTCATTCCTCTTCCTCCTCCTCCTGCCCTCTCCAGTCAATCTCCTCCTTGCCTCCCTCCTCCTCCTCCCCATCTCCTCCTCCCTCCTCCTATCCCGCTCTCCTCCTCCTCCTCCTCCTCCTCCCCTCCCCTCTCCTCCCCCTCTGCCCCTCCCCCCTCCCCCTTCCCCCTCCCCCTCCCCGTCCTCTTCTCCTCCTTTTCCTCCCCCCTCCCTTCTCCTCCTCCTGCCTCCTCCTCCTCCTCCTCTCCTCATCGTCATCATCATCAATCTCATCATCATCAGTCATCTCATCATCATCATCATCCTCATCATCATCATCATCATCATCATCATCATCATCATCATCATCATCATCATCATCATCATCATCATCATCATCGTCATCGTCAGCATCATCATCTTTCTCCGTGTCGCGCACCGAATCAAGTTTTTAGGGCGGGCCGGGTGCTTCGCTTCAGACCTCCTCACCACTTATGCCTCCGAACCTTGAAATGTGACCACACTTCCATGTATGGAGGGCGGGTGATTTTCGAAATGTGGCTCTCGCCTTCGCGCCACGCACATTCGTTTTTAAACCTTTGCCCCTCGCCTTAGCGCGGCGCACATCGGTTCGGAACAGGTGCATGAGTCTCAGGGATTGAGCGCGGGTCGATTGCAAACTGTGGCCTTAGCGCCGCGCGTATTTGTTTTAAACATATGCAATTTCACAATTCAGGGCGGGTCGTTTTCAAAGTGTCGCTCTCGCCTTAGCGTCGCGCGCGTTCGATTCAAACGTTGCAAGAGATTCGCGGATCGAGGGTGGGCCGTTTTTGCAAGAGCTTTACGGATTGAGGGCAGGCTTTTTTCAAAAATGACTCTCGCCTTCGCGCCGCGCACATTCGTTTGGAACAGGAGCGTGAGTTTCACGGATTGAGGGCGGGTCGGTTTCAGCATGTGGCTCTCGCCTTAACGCCGCCCACGCACATTCGTTTGGGAACGTTGCAAGAAATTCACGGATTGAGGGCGGGCCGTTTTCAAAATGTTGTTCTCGCCTTAGCGTCGCGCACATTCGTTTGAACAAACTGCATGAGTTTCACGGATTGGGGGCGGGCCGCTTTCAAATAATGGTTCTCGCCCGAGCGCCGCGCACATTCGTTTGGAAACGCTGCAAGAGATGCACGGGTTGAGCGCGGGTCGTTTTCAAAATGTGGCTCTCGCCATAGCGCCGCACATTCACTTGAACAAGTTGCAAGAGCTTCACGGATTGAGGGCGGCCCCTTGTCAACATGTGGCTCTCACATTAGCGCCACGCACATTAGTTCTTAAACTATTGCAAGGTTTTCAGTGGTTCCCATGATCAACGTACCAGAAATGGTGTCTTTGAAAGATTCAGGATTCTGCGAATGTAACAATTATGTTGCTTCGCGATGTTGGAGTCCCAACAATGGCTTTCTGGCACGGCTCCGGATCATCAGGACGCAACAATGCTGATCCGTGGCGTGGAAATCCCGTGAACAACGTTTTGGCATTCTTCAAGGTCTTCAAACGGTTGCCTTCCAATGAGGCAGTTCCCTCCATGGAATTGAGCCGTTGTAGGGGCCAATCTGAGGAAGCTCCTCCTCCCCCTGCTCCTCCTCCTCCTCATCCTCATCCTCCTTTTCCTGCTGCTGCCCGTCCTCCTCCTCCCCCTCCTCCTCCTGCTCCTCCTCCTCCTCCTCCTCATGGTCCCCCTCCTCCTCCTCCTCCTCCTCCTCCGCCTCCGCCTCCGCCCCCGCCTCCGCCTCCTCCTCCTTCAACTCCTCCTCCTCCTCCTCCCCCTCCTCCTCCTCCTCCTCCAGCTGCTGCTGCTGCTGCTCCTCCTCCCCCTCCTCCTTCTCCTCCTCCTGCTGCTGCTGCTGCTTCTCATCCTCCTCGTCCTCCTCAACCTCCTCCTCCTCCGCCCCCTCGCTCGATACAATATCATACCGCCCTCTCTCCCGCCCAAGCTAGACAACGTCCAGTCGTCATCATACCATCGACCAAAATCCCTAGCTAGTCAACGTCCCGGCCTAACTGCCATACCATACCATCGACTAGACACCGTCTGATCGATACCGTACCGCCCTCGCTCCCGCCCCAAACCCCCGACGTCATGATTTTTCCAGAACGTCGACCCTCAGAGGTCTCGACCCATTCCCCTGGACTGGAATGCCGTCCTGAGTCGTCCTCGGACGGTTCCGAGGGCCGGCACCCGGGAAGGGCCTCCAGAGCCAGAAACATCAGGAAAAACCTCCCGTCATGATTTTTGTCCTTTGCTCGAGGGGGCCCGGGACGGCCGACGCCGTCTGGAACGGCCTACGCGCCGGCAACATCCGACACGAGCGCGGCGATCCTCGCCGCGCGACGCGCCAGCGGCCCTCGGGGCAGGCCCGGCGGCGCGGGCGCCCGCGCCGCCGCGGGCGAAGGCAAGGCCGGCGCCGGCCTCCTGGCCGGGCGGCTTGCGGCGGTGGTGGCGCCGGCGCCGAGGGCGGCGGGCGGCGGCGGCGGCGAGGACGGCGAGGGCGGCGAGGAGCTCCGCCTCCTCCTCCGGGGACGGCCACGGCCACGGCGGCGGCGGCCAGAGCGGCGAGTGGCGCCAGGGGCGGCGACGGGGGCGGCGCGCCGAGGGGCGGCGGCGGCGGCGAGGGTCTCGCGAGGGCCCGGCGCCGCGGCTGTGCCACGGCGGGCGGGTTGGCCAGCGCGTCAGGCGCCCGGGGCCCTCGCGGAGCGGTCCGGCTCGGAAGATGCCGCGGCAAGATGGGGCCCACGGCTCTGGTCGCTCGGGTCGAGCGGTTCTGAGATGCTGCGCACCGTTTTCGTGACGTCGGATCCGAGAGGGCGGCGAGGGCGGCGGCGGCGGGCGGGACGGCCACGGCCGCAGCGGCGGCGGCGAGCGGCGGGCGTCGGGCGAGGGAACGGCAAGGACGGCAACGAGGACGAACGACGACGACGGCGAACGACGACGAACGACGACGACGGCGAACGACGACGACGACGACGACGACAAGCGACGGACGACGGCGACAGTGGCGAGGGCGGGAGCGAGGGACGAGAGGGAGCGGGAGGGCGGTCTGGTAGAGGGGGGGGTGTAGCGGGGAGTGGGCGGGGAGGGGGGATCGTAGAGGACACCGCCGACCACGAGGGACCCGGGGAGAGGGGGGGGATGAAGGCATCCAACATGGGGCCCGAGAAGTCTGGTTCAGAGCATCGCGCCGCATTGCCGATGCATTGGCAATTGAATCGGCGATGAATCGGCGACGCCGGCGATGCATCGGCGCCGTCGGCGTGGAAATATCGGGCTCCACATCGGGACGCATCGCCGAAGCATCGGCTTATGCGGCTCGGCCCTGCGACACCATGTGCTCGGACCCCACCTTGGGGGGCCTGGAGGGGGACGAGGACGAGCACGACGACGGGGGACAACGATAGGGGAGGACCAGCTCAGCGGGTGCGGAAACACCGACATGCAATCGGCGATACCATCGCCGATATGTCAGCGGTAGGCCTCCGACAGAGAATCCCGATTATCCTGGTCGGGATGGGCACGTCGGCGATGCATGGTCGATTGGGGGCCGATGCGCTCCCCCCTGACGCTGCCCCCGAGACGACGAGGAGGGGAGGCGTGGCATGGCTTTCGGCTGCTGCCTCGGCTCTCCTGCGCCCGTGCGGGACGGTCCGGGCCGCTCCGGCAGGCCCTCGGCGAGGCGCAGCCGTGGAAAGGAATCCCGAGGCTGGAACGCCGCCAAGAATGCACACAAACACACCCGAGCATCTGGAGCCTCGAAGCCCCTTGATTCCGTCACTCCTCCCCCTCCCCCCCTCTTCCGTCTCGAAGGAGCCCAACGTTGCCCCTGAGACGACAAGGAGGGAGGACGAGAGAGGAGGGAGGAGGAGCAGGAAGGATGAGGAAAAGAGGAGAGAAGATGAGGGAAGATGAGAGGAATGAGGAGGAGGAGGAGGAGGAGGAGGAGGAAAAAAGGAAGGAGGGGGGAGGAGGACGACGAGGAAGACGACGACGACAACGAGGAAGACGACAACGAGGGAGGGTGAGGACGACGCGCCGGGGAGCGCCCTCGGGAAGCGCGGGCCTGCCGGACGGCCGCGGTGGCGCCCTTCCCCTTCGGCGCGGCGGCGGCGGCGTGCTTCGGGGCTGGCGGGCGGGCGCGGGCGGGGGGCGGCGGGCGGAGGGGCGCTCCAGCTGGCGCGCCGCGGATGGCCACGGGGAAGAAAGGGAGAAGTGAGAGGATGAGGGGGAGGAGGGAGAGGAGGAGGAGGAGGAGGGGGAGGAGGAGGAGGAGGAGGAGGAGCGAGGAGGAGGGAGGAGGAGGAGGAGAGTGAGGAGGAGGAAGAGGAGGAGGAGGAAGGAGGAGGAGGAGGAGGAGGAGGATGAGGAGAAGTAGGAGGAGGAGGAGGAGGAGGAAGAGGAAGAGGAGGGGGAGGGGGAGGGGGAGGGGGAGGAGGAGGAGGAGGAGGAGAGGAGGAGGAGGAGGAGGAGGAGGAGGAGGAGGAGGAGGAGGAGAGAGAAGAGGAGGAGGAGGAGGGGGGGCGGATGGGGGAGAAGGAGGCGGAGGAACGAGGACAAAGAGGAGGAGGCAGGAGGAGGCGGGAGAAAAGGGGGAGCGAGACCCTTCGCAATCGACGGTCCTACCCCCGCCAAAACAGTTCGGGGGCGTCTACCGAGGTACCCAGGGCCGGCGAGGCCGGCGGCCGAGACCAGCACCCGGCGAGACCAGCACGCAAAGGGCATGCTAGTACAGTGCGCAGCCCGTGAGGTACCCGTCCGAACCGAGCCCAGTGCACGTCGGTGCCCCAGCGGCATGGCCAGAAGGCGCCCGCAACCGAGACCCTATGCTGAAAGACTTCGGGTCGCGCGCGTCGCGCGTCGCCCCCGTGGGTGCCAACGCACACAGAGTGATGCCGAGGATGGGGGTGGGGGAGGAGGAGGAGGAGGAGGAGGAGGCGAGGAGGAGGAGGAGGAGGAGGAGGAGGAGGAGGAGAAGGAGAAGGAGGAGGAGAGAGGAGGAGGAAAAGGAGAGGACAAGGAGGAGGAGGCTGAGGAGGGGAGAAGGAGGAGGAGAAACAGGAGGAGGAGCAGAAGAGTAACGAGGAGGACGAGGAGGAAAGAGAAGCGAGAGTAAGGAGGAGGAGCAGTGAGGAAGGAGGAGGAGGGGGGAGAGGAGGAGGAGGAGGAGGAGGAGGAGTGAGGAGGAGGGAGAAGGAAGAAAAAGGAAAGGGAGCAGGAGAAGGAGGAGGGGTGAGGATACTTAGGAGGAGGAGGAGGAGGAGGAGGAGGAGGAGGAGAGTAGTGAGGAGGAGAAGGGGAGGGGGAGAAGGAGGAGAGTGAGGAGGAGGAGGAGGAGGAGGAGGAGGAAATGGGAGGAGGAGGCGAAAAAGGGGAAGGAGGAGAAGGAGGAGGAGGAAAAAAGGGGGGGAGGAGGATAGGGAGGAGGAGGAGGAGGAGGAGGAGGAGGGAGGGAGGAGGGAAAAGGGGAGGAGGAGGATGGAGGAGGAGAGGAGGAGGAGGAGGAGACGAGGGGAAGGAGGGGGGGGGGGGAGGCGGACGAGGAGACGGGGAGGAGGAGGTCGAGGAGGTCGAGGAGATGAGGAGGGAGGAGGGGAGGAGGAGGAGGAGAAGGAGGAGGAGGAGGAGGAGGACAATGAGGAGGAGAGGAGGAGGAGGAGGAGAAGGATGGGAGGAGGAGGACGAGGAGGAGGAGGAGGAGGACGAGGAGGAGGAGGGGGGGAAGGAGGAGGAGGAGGAGGAGGAGGAGGACGAGGAGGAGGAGGAGGAGGAGGGGCGAGGAGCCTCCCCCCTACCCGCCCTCGCCATCGCTCGGACGCCCATTCCCTGTGCCTTTTTCCGGCTTCGGGCGTGCACTTTGTTTCGCAAGGTGAACAACAAGGCTCCTCGATGGTCCTTGCCGAGAAAAGACGCACACGTCCGAGTGATGCCAAGTTCCCCTCCTCCCCCTCCCTCGACTCCTCACCCCCAGAGCGCTCATTTTTCGCGACAGCGGCCGTTACAAGTCCCGGCCGCCCTCCCTCCTCCCCGCACGCCCCAGGTATCGTTACGCTTCGTCCTGACCTCCGAGAAACGTGACATTACCGCCCCCCCTGCGGTACCGCCCGCTATCACCCAGGAAAAAAAAAATCGTGCTTCGAGCGATGTCCGCCGAAACCTGCGGTGTTTGATCCCGAAGGTGCAGGCGCTCATTTGAACGATGTGCGCGGGGCGCGGGGGTCTCGGCCAGGGGTATACCGTGCTATGGGATGCTCTGTTATGCTGTGTTATATATGCTCAAACATGTCACAGCATGCGTTGTTATGATGTGTTGTGATATGCAATATCATGTTATGTGATGTTGTGGCAAGGTATGTGTTAGTATGTTCAGTTATGCATTGATGTGCTATACATACGTGGTTCGCCATGCTATGCAGTCAGATGTGCTCTACTGCCATGCTATTATTTGCAAAGCTCTGTCATGGTGTGCTATGTTACGATATGGTCTGTCATGCTATGGTACGTTATGCTCGCATAGGTTATGTTCGGTGGTATGGTGTTATGCTCTTGGGCCTGGGGATCTGGCGGCCGTGGTATGCAGAAAGGGCGAGTCGGCGCGGGCGGCGGGACCACCAGGCATCATCGGGAGCCTGGGGATCTGGCGGCCGCGGTATGCAGGGCGGGGGGGTGGCGGGAGAGCTACCCTTTCATCAAACCTGACGGCCCCAAACTGTCGGGTGGGGAAAAACACTCCCCCTCCCCCCTCCTCATCCTCGCCCCCCCCCCCGCTCCTCCTCAATCATGGCCCTTTATAGGCAAGCCTAAGTGGGGAAACAACGCTCTTTCCCACCCCTCCCCTCTCTCTATCTTTCTCCTTCCCCCTCCTCCTTTTCTCCTTTCCTCTCCTCATCTCCTCCTCCTACTCCTCCTCCTCCACTCCTTCACTCCATCTCCTGCTCTTCGTCCCTCTACCGCCTTGTCCTCCTCCTGAATACTACCTATTCCTCCTCCTCCTCCTCATTCCTATTCATCCTCCTCGTCCTCCTCCTCCCGCCACCTCCTCCCCCGCCACCTCCTCCTGGTATTATTATTGATAGTTTATATATTATTAATATTATGAGTATCATTAGTATTAGTATTATTACTATTATTATTAGTAGTATTAGTATTAATATTAAAAGTATGAATCCTGCCAATATTAGTATTAGTAGTCCTCTTCTTCTTATCATTATTCGATTGATTCCTCATCCTCATCATCATCGTGTCCTTCCTTCTCCTTCTCCTCCTCCGTCTCCTCCTCTTCCTCCTCCTCCTCCTCCTCCCCCTCCTCCTCCTGATCAGCATCCTCATTAGCATCCCCAATCCTCCTCCTCCTCCTCCTCCTCATCATCAACATCACCATCGGAATAATCATACTCCTCAGAATCATCATTCTCACCATCATTATCATCATCAACAACATCATACTCAGCCTATGCATCAGCATTAGCATCAGCATCATCAGCATCATCAACACCATCATCAGCATACTCAACATAATCATCAGCAGCAGCATCAGCATCAGCATCACCATCCGCATCATCATCATCAACCTCACCATCATCATCATCTTCATCATCATCATCAGCATCATCTCATCATCAGCATAAGCATGATCAGTATCATCATCATCATCATCATCATCATCATCATCATCATCATCATCATCATCATCATCATCATCATGATCATGATCATCAGCATCATCATCATCATCATCATCATCATCATCATTATCATCATCATCATCATGATCATCATCATCATCAGCATCATCACGATCACCATCACCATCATCATCATCAGCATCAGCATAAAAATCAGCATCATCATCATCATCGCCATCGCCATCACCATCATCATCATCAGCATCATCATCAGCAATAGCATCAGTATCAGCATCAGTATCAGCATCATCATCATCAGCATCAGCATCAGCATCATCATCTTCATCGTCAGGTCATGCATCGATCAGCCATCTATCGTCATTTCCGGAGATCATCATCATATCATCACATCATCATCATCAGTCACGTCATCATCACCATCATCATCATCATCATCATCATCATCATCATCATCATCATCATCATCATCATCATCATCACCATCATCATCATCATCATCATCATCATCATCACATCATCATCATCATCATCATCATCATCCCATCCTCTCTCCTCCTCCTCCTCCTCCTCCTCCTCCTCCTCCTCCTCCTCCTCCTCCTCCTCCTCCTCCTCCCCTCTCCCTTGGCCTCTCCTTCCCTCTCCTCCCCCATCCGCTCCTGCTCCCCCTCCCCCTCCCCCTCTTCCGCTGCCTCCCCCTCCCCTCTCGGGGGGGATTGAGGAGGAGCGGGGGCCAAGAGAAGGGGAGGCGCGGAAGACGGAGAGGGGAGTCCAAGGACGGGGAGGGCCGAGGACGAGGGAGGGGGAGGAGAGGAGGGGAGAGGAGGGGTGCTCGAGGGAGGGGAGGAGGGAAGATACGGTGCCGACTGGCGGACGCCGCGCTCCATGGGCGCATGGCGTGCACAAAGGGAGGATGGAAGAAGGAAGGGGAGGAGAGGAGGAGGGGAGAGGAGAGGAGGGGTGAACAACAACTGAGACGGACCATGTTTTGCCGTTCTCTGGTCCTGGGGGGCTCTCGCCAGGCCCTGAGGCGGTCGAACAACGGGCAGGGATGAGAAAACCGGCCCTGGGGAAAGGGGACGCGGGCTTTCCCGGGACCCCACATTGAACAAGTTCGGACGTCGCGCGTCTGGGCATGTGAGGTCTGAACCACTTGCGCCCAGCTTGTGGGCCTTGAGGAGGAATGAGGCTGCAGAAGGAAAGGAGAGGAGGATGAGGAAAAGGGGGGCTGAGAAGGGGCCGAGGAGGAGAAAGAGGAGGAAAACGATCACGAAGACGAAGACAACGACGACGACAACAACGACGACGACGACGAGGGGGGAGAAACGAGTCGAAGAAGGCGGATGGGGGGGGAGGATCGAAACAGGAAGGGTCAGGGGAGGAGAGCTGGAGGCGAGGAGAGGAGGAAGATCGGATCGGACTGAAATGGCTGGCACACCACTGTCTTTTGCTGCACGTCTCCGAAGGAACGATCCGCCTCCTCCCTAAACGTCGAATATAGCCAGCAAGGCCGCCGTTCTCTCTTCGTGCGCGATCGGAGGGGAAGGGGAGCTCTTGATCGCACGCTCTCACCGATTCAATTCGACATCCAATGAGCAAACGGCTTCGTGACCCTGGGAGTGATGACGTGCTATTGCGATATTCGCCTCTATTTCGCAGCCCCTACTGGAACACCGTGCACAGAAACGCCCCCCTCGGATGGCGATGCGACCAGCCGGCCTGCTACTACGGCGAGGCCTCGCTCTGCAGAGCATCCACCCTTCAGCATGATCAGTGAATGGCAAAAACAAAATCGAATAGAACACCTGAAGAGAGTGTCTAACTCTAACGATAGCCCCGAATTGGAAACGATCTGCCCTCCACGCGTGTGAATATTGCACAGCTTCAAAAATTCGAGTCGTATGATACGCCGAGGCCTGGGAATATGAGCACCTGTCCATCGAGAGCGGAAGTTTTCCCTAATAGCGTGACGCTCAAGGGTTATGATGGAAATCTGAAGTGTCCCTAATCAGATCTCCGCCGAGGGGGGGCGGGGAGAGGCGTCTCGCTGATACAGCGGCGCTTGCGAGCAGCAGCGCTCACTGTGGTGTTATGGCGCGATGTGGTCAAGAAATGCGACGCACTACGGTGTTATGGCCTGTGTTATGGCCTAACTTCTCTCCTCAGGGGGGGCCCGGGGGAGGCGTCTCGCTGGCCTGGCGGCGCGTGCCGGCAGCGCTCACAAAAGCGTTCTGGCCCGATGTGGTCAAGAAGTGCGGCTCACTAAGGTGCTCTGGCTCGGTTCCAGCCCTCGCAGCATGTGTTCGTGTGTCCAGGCCGCCCAAGGGGGTATCTAACATGATGGTCCCGAGCTGAAGCCGCGTGCTTTCACAGTTCCAGGCCACCCAAGGGGATTTCTAACATGTGTTTTTACATGTCCTGGCCGCCACATGTATAATCACCTTCTTCGGCTGGTGGTGTGCTAAATCTCCCCCTGGGGTATGTAACGTGGTGGTCCCGAGCCAGAACCACGTGGTTTCACGTGTCCAAGCGGGGATATTTAACATGGCGGTCACGAGCTGAAGCTATGTGTGCCCACGTGTCCACACGACCCAGAGGGCATCTAACATGGTGGTCCCGAGCTGGAACCACGTGTTTTTGTTTCATGTCTGGTCACCCTGGGGGGTATCTAGCATGGTGGTCCCGAGCTGGGACCGCATGTTTTTCATAGTAGCGTTTCGCACGAGGGTTCTAAAATTCCCTCGCCATAATCTCCACAATGGAAGCCAGGCGGAAACGTCTCACCTCTCTGGCGGCGCGTGCCAGCAGTGCTCACACGATGTGGTCCAGGAATGCGACTCACAGTGCTGTTCAGGCTCAGTTTAGACCAGCAATGCGACCGACTATTGCGTTCTGGCTCGACTTGGTCCAGAACTGAAGCTCACTACTGCGTTCTGGCTCGATGCCACTTCACCATCGGCTCCACACGGGGGAGGGGTCTCGCCGGCCCGTCGGGGCGTGCCGGCACCGTTCTCTATGTCGTTCTGGGTCGATTTCAGCTCTCGCGGATCCTGAAGAACAATACTCTAGAACGAAACAATGTTCTTAGAACATAATTCGGGTGTGTTCAAACAAGACAGCCCCAGCCAGAAATGTTCTAACAGCATTTCGTGGAAACCACAAAAGGTTGTTAGACCAGTCTCTGGTAGGGCTATGGGCACGCCGGAACGCTTCGCCACTGCTTGAAATAACATCCTGCAAGAACATGAAACCCTCCGCCAGCCGAAACACTCCAAACCATAAGATCACTCGAGGGTACCCTCCTGAAGGACGCACAAGCACAGCCAACAAGCACGAAGAACATTAGGGTACCCTCGCCGAGCCAACCTCGACCTTCTACCTCGGTCCGATCGTACCCGTCCGTCGGAAGAAGGCGGTAGAAGTAGATTGGGCTTCCGCCTTCTCCCTGAAGAGGGGTGAAGAGGGATAACCACTGGACCCATCAAGCAGGACAGCATCCCAAAAAAGAATCAGGACCTGGAAGTCCCGACACACCTACTTTCAACGACCGGCACGTACTGTTCTGCTTCGACCCTTGACTCTCAGAGGTCCGCGCGGGGGCTACGCGAGGGTGCCTCCCGCCTCGGGGTGCGCAGTGTGCGGCGCCGCCCCGAGAAAATCCCCGCGGACCTCCGGAAGTCCATGCTCGTGCCGCTTCTTCGGCTCCGACGTCAGCAGAGGCCTCCTACGGGTGGGGGATGGGGTCGGAGCAGATGGGGTCAGAGGATCGCGCCGCATCGCCGATGCATCGGCGATGCATCGGCGATGCACCGGCGACATCGGCGATGCATCGGCGACGTCGGCGTGAAGCAAATCGGGCTCCTCATCGAGCCACCTCGGCGATGCATCGGAGCTGTGGCGCGATCCTCCCGCCCCATCTACTCCGACCCCATCTAGGAGGCCTAGAGTAAGGCAGTCGCTAGCTCGGCCACGAACAGGTTCCGTGGCCTGCAGCCGCACCCGTGGCAGCCACGACGGCCCCGCGAGGGAGACGGAGGAAAGAAGAAGCAGACAGGCAGCAGAGGGACCCCCGATACTTTATGCAGTTCGAGAGAGAAAGAGAGAGAGAGAGAGAGACAGCGGAAGATCGAGAGTGCCGGGGAGAGAGAGAGAGAGAGAGGACGAGGAGGTTAGGTGCTCGTTCTGGGAACCTCCCTGGAGCCACTCGCTCCACTGGCGCGCCGACGCTGCGTCGAACGTGCGCCGAGCTGGAACTTGAGTCGAGCTGAGGTCGAACTTGAATCGAACTGGAGTCAAACTGGAATCGAGCCAGAGTCGACCTAGAACCAGACCAGAGTGGAACAGATCACGTGTGTTAGCCCCAGGGTCCATCTATAGCGTTGTCGCATGCCCCCAAACAAGTCAGCGTCGACGAAGCAGCTGCGCAGAACGGAAGAACAGCAGGCCACATTGGTTGCCGGAGGGGCCGCAGACTTTGGCCACGGCCTTGGCCCCACGTACTCGCACACTGTTCCGACCTGCGTTTGACTCGCTTATACTCAAGACCACGAGCGGAGCATACAGCCATCGTGCTACCACAAGGGACGCAAGTAAGGACCGAAGGAGCTTCTCTGGCCACGGCGAGCCGCGGCCACGAATCCGCACTTGGACCTCAGAAGTGCCCCGAAAACCAAAAGCCCCTCCTGAGTGCAAAGAGATCCTTACTTCAGCATTTTGACTGTATTACCCAGGGGGAGGTGCCAGGCACGAGCATCGAAAGGAGGAGCGTCCTCAGGGAGCAAGGGCCATGCGCGGCAGCAGGCGGGAGCCCTTGAGTCCGCAGCCGCGCCTCTGTTTTTGCATTTCTCATGCTGACTTGTTTACGACGGCCTCCCAAAGAGAAACTTTCGACGGTCCGCGCGGAGGTCTTGGATCGGCGCTGGTCCCAACTCCCAGGCGTGCGGAGCGCGCCAGGGGCGGCGCCGGAGGCGCCGCTAGGGGGGGGCCCAGCGCAGATCCCAAAAACCTGCGCGGACCGTCGGAAGTGCATGCTCATGTTATGTTGCTCACGACGTTAGGACCATACCCCAGAAGGAATTCGAGCACCCAGAAAAAAGTATCGAAGCAATATCGAACGAGTATCGCCTCCCATGGCCCGACACTTGAAAACCCTGCTGCTTCTGTACGAAATCCTTTCTGGTGATCAAGGCTAGAATCGGTTGGACCATGGAAGTGCTCACGACGCTTTTTCTTCCTCGACTGTCCTCTGCGCTGCTGTGTTTAACGTTGCTTCCTCCTGGAGCCCCAAAGCGCCTGGCGGCCGCGCCTCCGGCCCGAAAGCGCCTGGCGGCCGCGCCTCCGGCGGCAGCTCCCTCGACGCACCGGCGACACGCAAGGAGCGACCCCTGGGCAGGAGTGACCTTTGGTGCGCGGCTTTTTGGGGGCCGCGGGGGGGGCAAAACTAGACGAAGAAAACACGCCATAAACATAAGTTTTTCCATACGGAGCGGTCTGGCGGTCGAGAAGCCGCCGCTCGCTCGAGGTCGAATGACCCGCGCGTCCTCAGAAACCAGCGCCCGTGATGACCTGCGCGCAGCACTCGCCATGGGGCGTCGCGCGCAGGCCGTCGCCGCTGCGGGGTCGGGGTCCCTCGGCCCGGCGGCTGTGGTTGTCTCCTCCTCCTGGCTTCTGGGGGGGCACGGACCCGGACCCCCGACGTCGTGGTCTGTTCACAGCGTCGACCCCCAGAGGCCTGGACCCCTTCCCAGGGGACCGGTGCTTCATCCTGAGTCGTTTCTGGACGGTCCTGGGGCCCCGTGAGGGCCCCTGGAGGCCGAAAGCAGCGAAGAACTCCCCGTCGTGATTCTCGTCACCGCGCGAGGAGGTCTGGGGACTCCCCCTCACCGCGCCGGGCGCCCGGGGCACCCCGGCGGGCACGCACCAAAGGTCACTCCAGCGAAGGGCCACTCCCCCGAGACCCGACGTCACGAGCAAATTGCAACGTCGCTGAAAATCACGACCGGAGCCCCGGACCCCATTTTGCCGCGCCACTTGCTACGAGTTGCATATCGACCTCTGAGGCTCCCGGGGCCTGCAATCATTCTGCACCATTGTTCTAATTGGATCGATCTCTGAGGCTCCCGGGGCCTGCAATATACGCCTTCCTCGAAAAAACTGCGACGCCAGGATCTCAGGGTCTCACGCGTAGTCGAGACGCGGGCGGCCGCTGCGTGCTCGCGCCGGCCACGGCCTCCTTCTGGTCGTGCGGCGTGGGCTGCGCGGGCAGCGTCGTCGCCATCGTCGTCGACGTCGCCGTCGTCGCCGTCGTCGTTGTCGTCGTGGCCTCCGCCGCGGCCGCGGCTGCCGCGGCCGCCGTGCCGCCGTGCCGCCGCGGCCGCGCGCTGCCGGTCGCTGCCGCGGCCGCCGTGGCGCGGCCGCGGGCGCCGCCGACGCGCCGCGAGCGCGGCGCCCGCCGCCGCGGCGGCGGCCGCCGCGGCGGCGGCCGCCGCGGCGCCACGACGACGACGACGACGACTTCCCAAATTCCGACGCCGTGCATTTTCACACCGTGCTCCCCCGGAGAGCTGAACCGCCTCCCCCTGGGCCGGCCCCTTCGCCCCTCGCGAGCCGTGCTGGCACGGCCCGTGGCGCTGGGCGAAGGCCCCCGGGGATTGAAAGTCGTTAAAAACATCCAGACCCCAGGCGTCAGGCCCCATGACGACCCTGAGAAGCTCCCCAGCGGGCCGAAGAGGTTCCCAGAGGCCTCCCACGAAGGTTCCCAGAACCACTGTTTTCCTCCAGAGAGCTGTTGGTGGATTTTTCGAGGTCTCAGCCTTTTGGTGTCCCGAGGCTCCAAGACGGCCCGGGCGACCTTCTCGCAGCGTCGACCCCCACAGAAAGGCCGTGGCTCGGCAGGGGCCCGTGGCGGACGCCCGCTCGATGCCCAGACCCCCTCACGCCACGACCGCACGCAGAACTGGCCCTCGGTGAGACGACCGCCGCTCGTTGAGGGAGATCGCTCCAGTCGGGTCGGGCGAACGGGGGGGATAGCAAAGGGGGGGTTTGAGAATCAGCTCACGTAGCTGATCTTCCTGGCGCCGGAGGCGGCTATGTATCGAGGAATGGCGCCAGAGGCGGCTATGTATCGAGGAATGGGCCCCTCGGTGGGGCCGAAACCAGCTGCATGCAGCAAATTTCGTACCCCCCCCCTTTCCCAATCCCGCCCTTTCGTCCGGTCCGCTCCAGGTGGTCGTCAGTCGTGCACAGCGTCGCCTGGGCTAGAAGGTGCGTGCCCGCCGGGGTGCCCCGGGCGCCCGGCGCGGTGAGGGGGAGTCCCCAGACCTCCTCGCGCGGTGACGAGAATCACGACGGGGAGTTCTTCGCTGCTTTCGGCCTCCAGGAGCCCTCACGGGGCCCCAGGACCGTCCAGAAACGACTCAGGATGAAGCACCGGTCCCCTGGGAAGGGGTCCAGGCCTCTGGGGGTCGACGCTGTGAACAGACCACGACGTCGGGGGTCCGGGTCCGTGCCCCCCCAGAAGCCAGGAGGAGGAGACAACCACAGCCGCCGGGCCGCGGGACCCCGACCCCGCAGCGGCGACGGCCTGCGCGCGACGCCCCATCGCGAGTGCTGCGCGCAGGTCATCACGGGCGCTGGTTTCTGAGGACGCGCGGGTCATTCGACCTCGAGCGAGCGGCGGCTTCTCGACCGCCAGACCGCTCCTTATGGGCCCGTTCTGGGCCAGCGGCGGCGCTCAACCCTGAACGCCCGCGCTGGGGGTCGCGGCCACATCGACACGACACGTGCCCATCGTAACAGTGCCAATAGCGATCAATGTCTTGGGGGGCAGCGAGGGGGGGGGGAGCTCAGGGGGAACCTTGGTTACCGCCGGGAACTCGTAGAGCTTCCTCGTGCAATGCGGGCGCGGCAATCTCGCATTGCGCGCGATGGCGCGGTCTCGTGAAGGAGGACGTGGAGAAGAAGAAGGAGCGGTGTTTCGATTTCAGCGCTGATAGCAGACCCCAGGTCAAGCGTCTAGAACGACTGGCGCCGGCGGTAATGGGAGCAGAGAGCTTCAGAGATCATCTTCTTAACTATCTTTTCGAAAACATGTTCCATGTCCCCATCCGACCCTCAATGGGGTCATCGAGCTGGAATCGGAGATACGTCGTCGCATCGCCGCAAGATCGGCGATAGGCCCCCGATGGCGAAACCGCGCGCTCCTGGGCGGGTTGAGGCCATCGGGCCCCGAGCGGCGATGAGCGGACACTTGGGGTCGATGCGTTCCCCTTGGGAGCCTGGCCCCCCCGAAACGTTGCCCCTGAAACGTCTCTCAACTTGAGCAGGGACCGGCCGTCCCAGCATTCCTATAGTCTTACCACGAAATGTTCTTCGAACCCAGATATGTTCTAAGAACAAAATCGATGCTCTTAGAACAGCCCCAACCAGAAATGTTCTAAGATAGAGCAGTTCGTGGAAACCACAAACAATTCTTCGAACATTGTTTGGTATGGCTATGGGTGAGCCAGGACGCTTCGGCACTGCAGGCATGCCGGCCGAAACCGAAAACGGGATCGCGCCGCGGCCACGGTACCGCCGCGGGCCTGCTCCCGGCGCCAGGCGCGGGACCCCTGCCAATGCTGAAGGGGGGCGTTACGGTCGAGGTACTACCAGAAGGAACGCCAAATAAGGTACAAAGGTGCTTTTCTGGCCACGGTGGGCCTAGGCCACAAGCAAATCCCGCGACATAATTCTAAGGAACGACCAAAAAATCCACGAGCCCCTTCCGAACCCAAAGCGGTCCTTTTTTCAGCGTCTTGGCTGTACGGGGGGACCGGCTCAGGTCGGGGACCTGCTGACCCGGATCAGTCCAGACCCGGGTCGGTCGGGCCTGGCAGATCCTGCAAGATCCTGCGCCCTGACCCGGATCAGTGCGCCCCTGGCTCTGCAGGATCCTGCAAAATCTGGCGCTCTGACTGACCCCCGTTTGCATCGACCCCCGTCTCAAGGCTCTCGACCAGGGTGGGGAACGCCGGCTTGGAACCGGCGATGCATCGCCGACAGATCGGAGATGAGCCCCCGGTCCTGAGCAAACCTGCAGTCCTGGGTGGCGTGGGCTACCGCGCCCGAATCGGCGATCGATGGACACTTGAGAATCGACGCATCCCCCCCTGAGCCCATCCCCGCCTAACGTGATGGGCCGATGTTCCACCACCACTACCATAGGTAAGAGAGGGAGGAGGCGGAGGAGGAGGAGGAGGACCTCCCCATCGTCCCTTCCCCCCCCGTCCTGCCTATGGTAGTGGTGGTGGAGCAGGTGGCCCATCAGAACGTTGAGCCTGCACCGACGACCCCACACGTCCCCCACCAGCATCCCGCCGTGCACGCCTCCGAGGACCGACGTGGCGGAACGTCCGGCCCGAGGGACCCTCGCCGTCCAGCTCTCTCGGGGGGCCGGGCCTCCCGCAGCCGCTCGCTGGACGACCCGGGCACTCCCTGCAACGCTCCCGGCGAGGCGCCGCTGCTCGAAGGCATCCGGAGGCTGGCAAACCGCCGAGAACCGACGAGATCGTTCGAAAACCTCGAAACTTCAAAGCCTGGTTCTACTTCGAAATTCAAAGAAACCCCCCTGGTGCCCGGTTCCGCCCCTCCTCCCCCCTCCGCCCAAGTCCGCTTCCCCAGACCCCTCCCGGAGTCCATTCTGACTTGCTAGTCGAGGCGGGTCCAGCCCTGGTGACTGAATCCTCAGCGAGGCCCGACGCAGGACGAAAAGTGGCCGAGACCAGAACACCGCCGAACACAGTCAGAAACGTCCGAAAACATCGAACACACCTTATCATCGCTGAACCGATCCCTATCCCCACGGGCGTGACCTGGCCCCCCCTGGCCGATTACCCCCCCCCTGGATGGGGATACAGGCTGTTCCCTTTGGGCTTCCAGGGGCACGCCCCCAACTGGTGGTGGTGGGATGGTGGGGATCGTGATAGGGGTTGGGGATGGGGATCGGCTCCACGTTACTGACCGTCCCTCCTTGTCCCCGAAAAAACCCTTCCTGACTGCAGCTGGGGCGGGCGGGCGCGCGCCTTCACCCGCCCCTCGCGGGCCACCTCCTGGCCCACGAAGCCGAAAACGTGCAGGGACAGGGCGGCCACAAGCCTGCCCCGTCGCGGCCACAGGGCGACGACGACGACGACGACGACGAAAACGGACGACGGCGACGACTACGACGACGCCGCCGCCGCCTCCGCCGCCGACGACGATGGCGGGTTCTCGTTGGTTTCGGCCCTCTGGGGGCCGCTTTGGGGCCCCAGTGGCGGGTCCAGGATGGAAAACTTTCCCAGGGAAGCGGTTAGGAGCTCTGGGGTCACGGATTGAAAAAACCGGATCGGCGCATGTCGGCAGCGCGCCGGCAGAGGGGGTGACAGGGGGAAGCCATCTCAGAAGGCGGCGGCGGGGCTTCTCAGAAGCCCTCGCCGGCCTTCTCGGAAGCCCCTGGTGGCTTCCGAGGGGTCTCAGAACCCTTCTCGGAAGCCTTCTGAGCCTTCTGAGCAGGCCCCACCCCCTCTGCCTCCCCCCCCCCCGGGCCCATCGCCGAAGGTGGCGACGGCGTGGCGGCGTGCTCCTGCAGGGCCCCTCGATGTGCCGGTGCGCGGTGGCGTGCTCTCGCGGCGACCGCAGGGCGCGGGAGGCCGAAACCTGCCTTCGTGCCGTGCCGACCTCGGCGTCGGTTTCTGGCACCCCGGGGACCGAGCAGCCTTGAAAAAGCCGGCCGTTTCCGAAACGTCCGATCGCTCGACATCGACCGATTCTGGGTCTCCGCTGGCCGACGCGACGCGAACCGGCCATACCTCAATGTCCTGCGACCACCACGTGCATGCACAACGGCAAGCTGGTCCGTGCCTGTACCCGGGAACCGCGCGAGCGCCAGGGTACAGCAGGGGCCCGACCACAAGAAACCTTTCACAAGAAACCTAACCCTGCGACCCCAGGGCGTCCCTTGAATTTTGGTGTGGGAGCATCACGCTTTCCATCGCAAAACCATCGAGACACAAGAAACGCAGGGCACCCTGCAGGCAAGCAGGGTGTTTCTTGGCATGGGCCTCCGCTGTACCCTTTCCTCGTTTTCCACTTGTTGGGCCTCCTCGGAGGCCCTCGTCGCCACCGCTAGATTCGCCTCGAAATTCTGGTCAGAACGCACCCCGGGAGAGGTCCGGGGAGTAGCGGTACCAGTACCTTTCGGTTTCTCTACAATGTGCCTGCGAGCACCTCAACAGCGTGCCATCTTTACAACATGCCCGTGGGCACCACGCAGCGACCAGCGTGAACTGATATTGGGGGGATATCGGTTTGGAGGGCAAGGGGTGCATGCCACGCGTTATGCCAGCCGCTGAAAAAAATAGCCTGGCGGAACACCCAACCATGGAGCAGCTGTGCAACGAACTGCTGCACTGCAAGAGAAGGCAAAAGCGAAGACCATCAAACCCAAGACAGCAAAAACATCCCTCAAGAGCACGAACCCCCCCGCCAGCCAACACACACACAGAACATATAAGGGTAACCTCCTCAGCCTGCACAAAACACATCCAACAAACACAAACAAACATGAGGGTCAGGTCAGACATGTCCTCATACAGGCGGATGTAAAACGAAGAAGGAACATAGTCAGAACATCATCAAACATAGACAGACCGGTACAAGACATCGCCGCCAGACTAACCTTCCTTATTCGTGAGAATTCCTGACAATTCCTGCCGTTGAGGGACATGGCACCCTCCCCGATCCGACCTTGATCTTGTACCTCGGTCCGACTGCAGGAAGCGGCCGCAGAGGGAGTGGCGGGAAGGGCGGCCCCCTCAGGCCATGCCATTCTGCAGAGCTCGCCGCTCTATTGGGGTCGGAGGACCGCGCCGCATCGCCAACACATCGGCCATGTACCTCGAGCTGCACATCGGCATGCACATCGAACCGCATCGGCGATGCAGATCGGGCCGCATCGGCGATGCGTCGGCGATGTGGCGCGATCCTCCGACCACATCTACTCCGAACCCGTCTAAGAGGCCTAACTCCCCAAACACTCTCTTTTACGTCGCAGCGCGGCAGAAGCAGTTCGCACGCCCGGGCAAACCGGGTGACGGCATTGCGAATAACCCGAATGCAGGAAGGGAAGGGGGGGACAGAAGGAGCGGCCACGGGAGGAGGGGAACGAACAAAAGCGCGAAGCGGGGACCGCAGAGGAGCGGTCGGGGTGGCCTAGCTGTTGCTGCACCCCTGGCAAGCCCTCCCCCAACACTCACTGGTTGGGAGAGTTGCGTGCTGGTCCGCCCCGCAGGGGCCGCCGTGACTATATCTGCGGGCTCTCTGAGCCTCTCTGAGCACTTCGCCTCTTCACCACACCACCAGGCAGAACGGCAACTAGGGCAATCCAAGCGCGTCGCCGCATACCTCTTCAGACGCTATGTTCATCGAGCTTCAAGTGCATTGGTCCACCAACTGGGGGCGGCTCCCCTCACCGTGGCCCCGAGGCATCAAAGCTAGCTGCCGGACTTGATGACCCTTGTGCTCCACCCTCTCCTCCTCAGCCTCATCCTCGTCCTCCTCTCCAATCTCCTCCTCACTCATCGCAGTGAAGGAGGAAGACGGGAGGTGGAGGGAGATGGAGGGAGGAGAGGAGGAAGGAGAGGAGGGAGAGAGAAGGAGGGAGAAGGAGGGAGATGGAGGGAGATGGAGGAAGATGGAGGGAGAGGAGATGGAGGGAGATGGAGAGAGATGGAGATGGAGAGGAGATGGAGGGAGATGGAGGGAGATGGAGGGAGAGGAGGGAGAGGAGGGAGATGGAGAAGGAGGGGAGGAGAGGAGATGGAGGGAGATGGAGATGGAGAGGAGGGAGGAGAGGAGGGGAGAGAGAAGACTGAGCGCGGAGTCGAGCGGGTGACAGCTGAAAGGCCGTCGAAAAAGGAAGGGGGCGAAAGGGGAGGAGGGAAGAGGGACCTCCTCCCTCCTACTTCACCATCCTAGTCATCGCAGACATAGTCAACGTCATATCCATCACCATCGTCGTCAACACCATCACAACCATTACCACTACCACTACCACTACCATTACCATTACCATTACCATTACCATTACCATTACCATTACCATCACCAACATAAATCACCATCATCCCTATGTTACCGCTCCTCTCATCCCTCCCGAACATAGTTATCGGCGATGGGGCCACACAGGCTTGTAGCCACCGCTACGGGGACCGATTCTGCACCAATATCGCATCCAATAGCCGGCAGCATCAGCGCCAGCGTCAGCATCAGCATCAGCATCATCATCATCATCATCATCATCATCATCATCATCATCCTCATCGTCACCATCAGCACCACCACCACCACCACCATCATCATCATCATCATCATCATCATCATCAGCATCATCATCCTCATCCTCATGATCATCCACATCCTCATCCTCATCCTCATCCTCATCATCACTACAGTCGGAGCGCTGACATAAGGAACCCTAAATAAGGAACGAGGGCCCTAAATTCCATAAATTAAACTTCAATTCCATATCAGAAACCTAAGGAAAAACCTGAGGCAAGCTGTGCAACAATCAAGGAACACCGAGCCTCTCCCCAACGAAAAGGGTTCCTTCTCCAGGGCCCCGAATGTATTGCCACCATCATCATCATCATCATCATCATCATCATCATCATCATCATCATCATCATCATCATCGTCATCATCATCATCGTCGTCGTCGTCGTCGTCGTCGTCGTCGTCGTCGTCGTCATCAGCATCATCAGCATCAGCATCAGCATCAGCATCAGCATCAGCATCAGCATCAGCATCAGCACCACCACCATCACCATCACAATCACCATCACCATCACCATCACCATCACCATCACCATCACCATCACCATCACCATCACCATCACCACCATCATCATCATCATCATCATCATCATCATCATCATCATCATCATCATCATCATCACCGTCATCACCACCACCATCATCATACTGTGCCTCCCTGCTTCCCTGCCTCCCTGCCTCTCTGCATCCCCTCCTCCCTGCCTCCCTTCCTCCCTTCCGCCCGTCCTTGCTTCCTCCCTCCTCCTCCTCCTCCTCCTTCTCCTCCTCCTCTTCCTCCTGGTCCTCTTCCTCCTCCTCCTCCTACCTCCTGCCTCCTCCTTCGCCTTCTCCTCCTCCTCTTCCTCCTCCTCCTCCTCCTCCTCCTCCTCCTCCTCCTCCTCCTCCTCCTCCCTCCTCAGACCTCCTAGCTCGTCTCATCCTCCCTCCTCTCCCCTCCCACCACCACCGTTGGTCTCCTCCTTCCCTCCTTCCTCCTCCTGTTTCCGCCTCCTCCCCCTCGGGGTGCCCCCGCCGGCCCCGCCACAGCGCCCCCAGGGCCGCCGCGGCGCCGCCCCGGCGGCGCGCTGCCTGCGCCCCCCGCGCTCCCGCGCGCGCGCCCACGGGCCGGTGACGAGCGATGCCGTGTTCGTTTGATGCCGATGCCGCAAGCCAGTGAGGGCATCGGATACCCAAGGACCGTTGAGCAAGGAATCCAGGGTTAAGCCAGGCATGTCCTCCTGCGAGCGGATTTCGGAAGAAGTATCTTCAACAAGTGTCAAAAATAGCAAGAGAATCGCCCCCAGACTATTTGTATTAGTATTCTCGAGTATTCCTCCTGTAGAAGGACGTGCCCGACTTAATCGTCGGAGGGGAATCCAGGGTCTGGAAGCCGATGGAAGACCAGTTGACGTTTGGCCACGGACCAAAGGACATCACCGCCGCTCTCATCAGAGAAGGCAAAGCCTACAGCGCACGAGTAATCCTGGGCAAATTCTTCAACGAACGACCCCCACCGTAAGCGACAACGACCTTGCACGGTGGCTTACGCGGACTGCCAGCACGGCGTGCCACATCGAGAAGGGGGGCGCCTACGCGCGACCTGACGCGGGCAACTCACGCACCAGTGTCCGCGCTGTCGACCCCGTTTTGTTCTGCGTCGCCAATATATGGGTTATTATAGCTGCAGGGCTCAGATACTCATCAGGAGAGGATCTGGACCATATTCGACGCCCAATTTATCCGGAATAACTGCGGTCTGGGGTAACTCCCGCTTGGGTCCCCGAGGCGCGAATCTGTAGCTATACCTGACTGCCCAGGCCCACGAGGCGCGAATATGTAGCTACCCCTGGCCGCCCCAAGCCCTGATGACTCGGAGCTCGGACCATCAGCGGGCCGAGCTGCGGGATCAACGCAACTCGGCTTGCAGAGGGAAAGGTCCTCTCTTACATTGGAATAGGCGCCTCGGTGGTTGGTGCGATGGTGGTTACTGCCGTCTGCGCAGGAACAAACTGCCCCTAAACAGGCCTAGCAATCAGTCGGTCATTTCCGTATTGTTTGGCCGGTGTTGTAGACGGCCCAAGCAAAAAAACACCCCCCCTTGGAATCATCTGGAATTCACGCAAGGTGGCGCGGGACGCTTCCCATCGCAAAAACATCGAGACCCAGGCAACCCAGGGCACCCTGGAGGCGAGCAGGGTGTTTCGTGGCATGGGCCTCCACTGTGCCTCGTCGGTGTGCATTGGGGGGGACAGGTCGTCGACAAATCGTCGACGGATCGGCGCCGGCCCACTGACGACAGATCGTCGACATATCTAGCCAACCCAACGATGTGCACTGTCACTAAGAAATGGCGGGGGATGGAACTATTGAGCCAGACGAGCTTGCATGGCCGAGGCACGGGATTTTAAAGGCAAGCTTGCACCCATGAGTTGCATAGCCCTGTTGAAACCCAGTTCAGAGACCACGAGGGACTCCGCACGCTCAGCCACGCAACGCAATGCAGGAGGAAGAGAAGGAGGGGAAGGAGGAGGAGGAGGAGGGGGGGAGCGACGGGGGAGGGGGAGGAGAAGAAGGACGAGAGGGAAGAGGAGGAGGAGGGAAGGGGGAGAAGGTGGAGGAGGGGGGGAGCGCCCCCCCCTGCCCCTCCGCCCTCCTCTCCCTGGCCCTCCGTCCTCGTCCTGTGCGCCGCCCTCCCGTCCCCTGCCCCCTGCCCACACCCGTTTGCAGTCGAAGCGTGGGCGCGCACGGCGTCGCGCGAAGCGCCTGAGATAAGTCCGCTCCACCACCCATGAATCATCTACCCGAGCCCCCAGCGATCGTCGGGCGGACGCTGGGGGCGCCGATGGCGGGAGGGGGGCAGGAGATGACAACGATAGTGCGATGACGATGTGGGGTTGTGTCTGAGTCAACGCGGCGCGGCCTGGCATGGCGCCAGGTTCAAGTTGATCCAGGCTAGCTGCAGCGGGGTGCCTCGCAAGCTCACAGGTATCCCAGCCCATCCCTCATTGCAGTCCTCAGTCTCACCCACAATTTCGTGATCACGCCTGCAGCGCGGCACCCGTCGCACAGAAGCCAGAAACGCAAGCCTTCCTCGAGACAGCGTCAGGGGGGAGGAGCGAGAAGGTGGATCTGGAGGGAGATGGGAAGGCCAGTTCAACCCCAAACCCTGTGGAACAAAACCTCTCGATTCCGAGAGCACAGACATGTCACGCACAAGCCTGGCACACGGAATACACCCCTTCGAAACTGCATGCGTCTTGGACGCTGCCTCTGGCCTGGCTGCCTGAGGCGGGTGAGCTGAGGCCCACGGCCTCGAGACGAGGAGGAGGAAGGAAGAGGAGGAGGAAGGCGGAGGAGTAGGAAGAAGGAAAAGAACAGGAGGAGGAGCCTGGTTGGGGGTCGTCCTCCTCCCTCCTCCTCCTCCTCCTCCTCCTCCTCCTCCTCCTCCTGGTACTTCTCTTGCACCTCCTCTCAACTACCTCCCCCCCCTCCCCCTCCTCCTCCTCCTCCTCCTCCTCCTCCTCCTCCCCCTCCCCCCCCCCTCCCTCCATCGCCACCCTCCTCCTCCTCATCCTCCGCCCGCCCCCTCCCCTTCCCAAGACAATTTCAGCGTCATGTGGTTGGGGCTTGGCGGGGGGGGCTCGGGGCATCGCAGATTGAATTCGAAATCACTTCTTCAAACTCTCAAGGTGTGCCTTGATCTCAGCATCCGTGAACAAGCCCCTGAAAGGGGCCTCTGTCAAGGACAACACCTCTATGTCACAACACTGATGCCACAACTTACGTATAATATCACGTGCTGCGCCCTCCTCCCCGTGATCCGAGAGAGCGTGATCCACCGCCGCTTTACTGTGGAAAATTGCCAACCTTTTCCTCCGGAACCCGGGGGTCTCCCCCCCCCTCCGAAAATCCCCCCCCCCCCTGCCGGAATCCCCCCCCCCTTCCCCCCTCCCTCCCGGCAAACCCCCCCCCTCCCCTACCCCCCCCCCCCCTCCCCTCCCCCTCGAAAACCGGGAGGGGTCACTACCGGTTGAACCCCTCCCCCCCCCCCCCCTCCGGATCCGGAAAACCGGGGGGGGTCACTACCGGTTGGAACCCCCCCCCCCCCCCCCCTCCCCCCCCCAACCCCCTACTCACGCAGCAAACGAGCAAACGACTCCGCATCACATCCCCCACTATTGTCCCATCACTCCCCCACCACTGGTGTTCCCAGCACCACTGTCCTCACCACCGCTGTCCCCACTGGTTCCACCACCGCCCCTACTGTCCCCACCAGTGGCCCCACCACTGTCGCACTGTCCCCGCTGTCCCCAGAACTGTTCCCACCACGGTTCCACTCTCCCCACTGTCTCCACGGCCCCAACCACTGCCCGACTATCCCCACTGTCCCCAGTATCCCACTGACTCCTCCGCTGTCCCACCGAGCTGTCCCACTGTTCCCACCACTGTCCCCACTGTCCCCACCACTGTCCCCACTGTACCTCTGTCCCATTGTCCCACCGCCGTCCTCGCCACCGCCTTCACCACTGTCCCCACCACCATTGTACCCTCCACTGTCCCACTGTTTCCACCTCATTCCCATTGTCCCCACACCACTGTCCCCACCACCACCGTCACCACCACTGTCCACTGTCCCCCCCTGTTCCCACCATTGTCCCCACCACTGTCCCCACCACTACCGTCCCCACTACTGTCCCACTCCCCACTGTACCCACCACTGTTCCCACCACGGTTCCACTCTCCCCACTGTCTCCACGAACCCAACCACTGCCTATCCCCACTGTCCCCACTGTCCCACTGACTCCTCCGCTATCTCACTGAGCTGTCCCACTGTTCCCACCACTGTCCCCACTGTCCCCACCACTGTCCCCGCTGTACCTCTGTCCCATTGTCCCACCGCCGTCCTCGCCACCGCCTTTACCAGTGTCTCCACCAGCATTGCACCCTCCACTGTCCCAGTGTTTCCACCTCATTCCCACTGTCTTCACCACCACTGTCCCCACCACCACCGTCCCCACCACTGTCCACTGTCCCCCCTGTTCCCACCATTGTCCCCACCACTGTCCCCACCACTGCCGTCCCCACCACTGTCCCACTGTCCCACTGTCCCCACCACTGTCCCGCTGTCCCCTCGCCACTGTCCCCACCAACACCGTCCCCACCACTGTCCGCACCCCCACTCGGTTTTCGAGGGGGGGGGGGGGGGGGGGTTCGAACCGGCAGTGACCCCCCCCCTTTTCATGATGAACGGGGGGGGGGGGGGGGGAGGGGTTCGAACCGGTAGTGACCCCCCCGGTTTTCCGGAGGGGGGGGGGGGGGGGAGGGGTTCGAACCGGTAGTGACCCCCCCCGGTTTTCCGCCAGCAGCTGTAGAACACGCTCTTTCCGTGATCCGGATCCCTGGCCGAACAACGGGCCCGCGGCGGCACGTGGCCGCGCCAGCTGCCCTCGCCGCGGGCCCGCCACACGGAGGCCCATGGAGGGATGCACGTCTTGAGCTCGCTCTGTGGGATCACGGGCGGGAGGATGGGCTTCGGCACGACCTTAGCTTTTGCTGCCGGCTTGGCCCTTGGCTTGGCCATGGCCTTGACATCCCAGGCCTGCGTCGTGTAGGCGCGCTCGAACACGGCCTGCTCAGATACCATGTCGACGTGATCCTTCTGGTCTTTCTGGAGCAGCTGGGCATCGTTGCGGTCTAAGCAGGCCAGCGCTTCGTCCACGTCCATGATGTTGCCAGCTAGACGCGTCATGATGTCATTGGCCGCGAGCCGCTTCTTTACGTACTTCATGGCGTCAGTGGCGTTGCACCCCGTGATGCCCATGATGCTCTGGTGGAGCGCCTCGCACAAGTCGGCGTCATCATCCACTGGGTGACCTGCTGCCTCCGAGAACTGGACCACGGAAGAAAGCTTGAGCCTCCAGAAAGCATTCATCGCAGCAACGTTGATCAAGGTCTGGTCCGAGTCTGGATCCAATATCGCCATGATCCTCACGTCTGCGATGGCGTCGGGGACATTCAAGACCTGCCACACGCACGACCTCCAAGTGAACGTGTTTGCTACCATGTCGAGGGAATCCAAGTGGATGTGAGTCGGCGTGTAGAGGTCTTTCGCGTGGGCAAAATACCTCGTGCCATTCGCAAACGCCCCAACGGTGCCAGGCCACGCCAAGACAGCCGACTTCGGATATTGGAATAGGATCCTGTACCAGGTGGCCTCGGCTGGCATGCCCGCTGGAGCGGCCTTGCGGACGATGATGTTGTGCTCCACTTTCGCAAGCTCCCCGATCCAAGCCCGATCAAGCACGGTCCAGTCGCCAACCCGAACTACCTCGGCCAACAGGTCCAAGTCGGCGCAAGTGAGGTTGAAGTTACCGGCCTTGGGGCTGTAATACTCGGCATGCTGCATAGTCGTTGCAATGTCCTTCCAGGGGAGAGTCCTGTTCGCCGCAGTACTGGTGAAGCACTCCTTCAATACGTAATCGCTATTGCTATCTCTCGGGATGTCTGCGGAGGGAACCTTGTACTCGTGCTTCTTCGAGAGCGCGTTCTTTTTGAGTGCGATGCCCATGGCTCTCTGGGGCTTGGTGTACTTGCTGCCTTGCTTGAATGTCTGGATGGTCTTCTGAGTGCCGATGATCTCCTCGATGAGGACGGTGGGGCGCGCAACCCGCGCGCGCTGCCGCGCGACCTCCCGCAAGTCGGCCAACCGCGCTGGAATGCCGCGACCGGCGCTCTCGAAGGCGGCCACGGGCTGCTGCGCCGACATCTTCTGGAACTGGTGTTTGTCGAACATCGCCTGCTCCATGTGGTTCTTGTCTGGCTTATCCCCCAAGAGCTGAACATTGCGGAGGTCCTGCGCGAACTTCATGCAGACGGCCCTCTGCTTTTCGTCCGCGCCGAGGACGCTGGTCATGGACCACGGCCAACCCCTGGCCAAGTGCAGGCCCCGCTTGAGAGTCTCGACGACCAGGTGCCAGACGCACTGCCCAAAGAGGTTCGCAGCCTCATCCTCGTCGACGACGAAGGCGCGATTTTTCTTGAGCGCCGCGATAATATCAGCCCTCCCCGTCATGAACATGCAGTCCTGGAGGGGGCGGCGCTGGCTCATGGCGCGGCTGATGGAGGATACGTACTTCATGAAGTCGCCGAGGCACTGTTTCGTCAACCACTCCTCGACCCCGTCAGAAGTCATACATAAACGCCTCGCCCCCGTGCCCCAGTCGAGCATCACCTTGCCGCAATGGTGGATGATGTTGAATATCTGCTCATTGTCTGGCTCGGTCAAGAAATCGACCCTCACGCCGACCATATGCTGGCTGCAAGTCCTCAAGAGTTTCGCCTCGAAAGTGAGCTTCCCAAGAGTCGCCGAACCTGGAACGATATAACATAATAAAAACACTATCGCCAGGAGTTACCGTCGGAACAACCGTCGCGACCCACCATTGGGGGCCGCCGTCCAGGGCGAACTCAACGCCCCAAGGCGTGGCGCCAAGCCCGCGACGCCCGACACATCGACAGCGGGATTGGCACCTAAAGCCCCCCCCCCCCCCTCCCCCCCCCCTCCCCCGCGCGTCGGCGCCCGACGGCGACCCCCCAGCAGCGGCCCCCAATGGTGACCCACGACGGCTGCCCCCGACGATGGGCAACGCCCCGTGGGGACCATGGGCCCCAAGAGGTGCCCCGACTTTTTCAAATCATGAACACCTTCCCCGTGAGCGTCGGGCCCCAACTTCTTGGCGAACTTCTCGACGAACACTTTCAAATGGAGGAAGTCTTCCTCCAGCGCCACGAAGAGGGATTCGAACTCGCGGATCGGCCACTGGGCAATGTTCTTGGCGAGCGACGCGGTCGCGGCCTGGAAGCGGCACATGGTCGCCATATTGCCCTCGCGGGGAAAGTGGGCCCTATTCTTCATGTACTGCCAAACCTGGTCTTCCAATGGCTCCGAGGCGCTGATGTCCACCTTCATGCGCTCCAAAGCCTTGGCCAAGCGCTTGACCTAGTGCTGAAACAGCGGCCCGCCAGCAGGCGTGTATTTAGTGAACAGGTTCGAGAGATGCTCACGGAACTGACTGAACCTCGCGTCGCCCTTGTCGGGCCCATGGAGGAGGTTCACGCGGATAAGCCAGACCAGAGCGGGAGGGTGGAGCCCCACGTGCTTCAACATCTGGACCATTGCCCTGTTGCTGCAGTGGCTCGGGTCGGGCATGGGCTCGACGGCCAGCGTAAACTTGCACTGGGCAGCGAAAACACCTGACGCGCCATCCGAGCCAAGGTCCGTCGGGATCGCAGCGAAGGGCCAGGTCCTCCAATCCCCCCATGCCCCAACACCCTTCACGAATTGAAAATATCGGAGGCCCTCCTTCCGATGGCTGACCCTGGCTTGGTTGTCCAAGTTCACCAGCCAGTTCTTCGCGGCAGCCCTGCACCTCTTGATGGGCCTCCACGATAACGCTTTCATGCCGAGCCTGCTCCTCCCAAGCCAGGCCCGCTGCCTGTCCGCCATCTGTCTCCTCGGCTCCTGCATGGCCGAAAGACGGCGCTTCTGGCCAGCCAGCTTGGCCTCCTCGCAATCCTCGAGGTCGGCCTCCTTGCAAACCTCGGGGGGGGGGGGGGGGGGGGGGGGGGGGGCAGGCGGCGCGCAAGCGAGACGGGCGCTGGCGGGGCCCAGGCGGGCCCGAGGACGGCGCGATAAGGCCCCGCGAGGGCCCGAGAGGGCAAACCAAACCAACAACTCGCTCCGCCTTGCTCTGCAGCTTTGAACCGAAAGTGCTGAGACAGTTTCTCAGCCGCGTTGGTCTTCTCATGGCGTTTCGCTGGCCTAACTCGCGGCTCTCCTGGGCCCCATCGGGCCCTCGTGGGGCCCTCTTGGGACTGTATTGGAACGATCTAGGGCTGCTCTCAGGGCCCAAGGAGGCCCCGAAGAGGGCCTGAGAGGACCCGAGAGGGCAACGCAACACAACAACTCGCCCTGTCTTGCTCTGCAGCTTTAAACCAAAAGTGGCCGGGAAATCGTCTCAGTCACTTTGGTCTTTTCATGGCGTTTCACTGACCTAACTTACGTAGCTCCCTTGGGCCCCTATCGGGGCCCTCTCGGAGCCCTCTTGGGACTGTCGTTGAACGCTCTTGGGTTCCCCCCAGGGCTCCAAGAGGGCCCGACGGGGGCCCGAAACGGCAACGCAAATCAAGGGGCGGGTGCCCCCTGGCCCCGCCCGGGGCCCAACGCCAACCGACTTCAGACGGGAAAGGCGGGGCGAGAGGGCGGACTAGGATGCAGCCCTGCAACCATCTGGCGCCCCACAGAGCTACTTGGTCTGTAGATCGGGCGAATCGCCCGCTTAGTGACCATTTCCCCAACGTGAATTTGTGCACTAAGCGATCCCGCCTGCTCTGTCACTCAGACCCCCAACCCCCGACAGCTGAAGTCCAAGACGACGCCTTTAGGCATGCCGCCCCTGCCTGCGGGCAGAACAGGGCCGCGTGCGAGGTGGGCGTGATGACGACGGCGTTCTGGAGTTTCACCCCCTTGACGAGGCCCTTGTCCGTGGGGAAGCCGACGACGTTGCGGGGCGCGGTGAGCACCTGGGAGTGGGAGGTGTGAGCGTACAACATGTCCTCCAAAGTGGCCCCGTTGAGGTTGTCCGACTCATCGTCTGCATATACCAGGACGCACTTTCCTTCGGGAGGGGGCGGGTTGCCAGGGCCGCGGCTCGACCTCAACATGCTGCCCTCGATCGCAAGCGAAATATGGAGCACCACCTGGCCGAATGGCGAGTCCAACGCCCCATGCTCAGCACGATGGGCGAGGAAGCTCACGAGCGACGTCTCAGGCGACGTCGCGGACACCACGCCACGCAAGGCCGCGACCCACTCCACGCAGACGTTGTGCCCTCCGAGCCTCGGGGGCCCACAAGAACGCCTCCTTCAATCTGCGCCGCTGGTATCACGGGCGCGAACGCGTTCGCCCCCGTACTCCCACGGCCCCTGAGGCCCCTGAATAGACCCCTGAAGAGAGGCGCCTCCGATTGCCATCGAAGACGTCCTGGCAATTGATGATGCCGCCCTGCGCGTGGATGTCGGCCGTCGGCCGGCTGTCCGCGTTCACCTGGATCCTGGGCCAGTTGCACCCCCACTTGTCGACGAGCTCGGCCATGAACTTGATGCCGTCGCAGCCCCTCAAGAAATACAGCAGCTGTTCGGTGATGTCTCTGCGCGCTGCTCGAGGCGCTGCGCCAACGAGTCCGCCGCGCGTGCGAGGTCTCCCCGACCACCGAAATAGCATCGCAAGTAGGCCGCGCGTGCTGACTGACGGCCTTGGCAAGCACCTCTGGTGCTTCGGGAGGTCGGCCTTCTTGGCAGACGTCGTGGAATGGTTGCCAAAATCAAAGAAGTCACAGCGCCCAAATATCTTCATCATCCCCTCCTTCCACGAGTTAATCGAGCGGGACACCCAACGACGCGACTGGCCCTGGAAACAGCTCAGGCGAAGGGCTCTGTACATCGACTTCAGCCGCCAGTAGACGCGTTGCTTGCAGCCGCGGAATTTGGAAAAACACCGACACGTCCATGATGAGGGAAGCGCTGGTGTTGCCAACGAAGATCTTCGCAAGCTCTTCCCGGCTCCTGCAGAAAAGCATGCTGAGCGGCATGGGGGCGCGGTTCTGCTCGATCAGGTAGAGGCCCCCTGTGGTATCACGCTTAGCGATGCGCTGCGCCAAGACGAGATCCAAGTCGAAACGCTCCAGCGTATCCTCATCCATGTTGACAATGACGCCGTGGACGCGACTGTCATCGAGGTTAACCGCAAAGTCCCCAGGCACGCGCTTGCTCTCCTGGGTGAACATGTTCGCAATGTGGGTCCTCTCGCCGTCGAAGTCAGCGTGGACCAAGTCTCCGATCTCAACGAACGTAGCTAACTCACGCGCTGGCTGAGCAGCTGCGACGTCCGTCACATCGACGACCTCAGCGCCGCCCGCTGGGGCGGCCATCGTGCTGCGAGAGATCAAAGCAGGCGGGTCGACGATGTGCTGCAGACGAAATCTCCTATCATATCAACCCGCCCTGCTCAAATGGGCCGTGGCAGCGACGGAGGAGGCGCGAGGGGCGGGCAGCCAATAGTGCCCCAAGGGGGGCCCAAGCGGCCCCAAGAGAGCTCCCAGAGGGGCCACACACGGCCACAAGAGGCCCCCAAGAGACGTCACGCGAAACGTATCTCGCGTGACCACTCTTGGGGCCCTGCTGGGAGCGCATCGGGGCCCTCTCGGAGCCCTCTCGGAGCCCTCGTAGGGAGGGCCCTGAGAGGCCTGGGGGAGCACCCAAACCATATTGCAAAACTTGGGGGCCATCTTGGGGCCCGCTTGGGAGCCGCTTGGGGCCTCTTGGGAGCCTCCTAGGGCCCTCTTGGGACTCCTCTTGGTGGGGCATCTCGGAACCCTCTCGGGGCCCTCTCGGTGCCCTGCGAGAGCCCCAATGGGGGCCCAATAAGGCTCCACGAGGGCCCCGAGACGGCCCCAAGAGGCCCCCAAGAGCGACCACGCGAAGTGTCTCCCAAGAAACTGCTCTAGGGGACCCCATTGGAACCCTGTTTGGGCCCTGGTGCACAGATGAACCTCCAAGGTGATCCCGACAGCGCCCCACGGAAGCTCCAAAGGGTCTGAAGACAGCAGCTCGATGCCGCCCAAGAAAGTCCAGGGTCACCGTCGGGGGCCCGTTGGGGCGCACCTTACGGCGCCACCGCGGGGGCAGCGGTGGCGGGGGAGGGAGGCAGCCACAGACGGTGAACCCAACACCCAGAGCTTCCATGTAACGCGTCACCTACGACGCACGCCGTGCAAGTCGCCCACCTAGAGCTCACGAACAGGAGGACTCGCAACGTGCCGTGCACAAGGCACGCCATGCCAGGGAGGCAGCATCCACATACAAAAGACCTGGACACCACGCACACACGAGGCACACAATGATATAAGACGACATGTGTGCACCCCTTGCCGTGCGCGCGAACACTATGTCAGCAGTCAGACGCCGAAAGGCACCTCCAGGTTGCAGGCGTGAAAGCTGGCGGTGGTCGAATGGGCGCGAGGAAGTGGGAATGGGTTGAATGCAATAGGAAACTGGATGAGAATGGAATCGAACACCACTGTATGAGAATGGCCTGCAAACTGGCACAAAATCGCAGAACTCGGAGGTCGCGCTGCCCAGTTCGAGTAGTGATTGCTACCTGCAGCGCTGACTGACCGCAGCGCTGGGCCACGCCAGATTCGGCGCAAGGCCGTCGAGAGCTTCGGCGCCGCTGCGGACGCCCCCCAAGAGAACCACTTGAGAGACAAGTGAACGAGCAAAGCACACTGAGGACACTTAAAGACGGAGTTTCACATCCAGTAAGGAAAACATATCGCCCTGGCAGCACCTGTCAGTCACGCAGGCTCTGCCGAATCGCCCCCGCGCCAGGGCAATTGAACAGCGCCTCGACGACTCGCGGTCCGAACCAACTCAAAGCTCACAGCTTAAATCTCCACCTGCGACTTCTGCTTCTTGGCGTGCAGCATCTTGGTCGCCTGTTCCCTCGCCCTCTTCCCCCTATCCGCCTGCGCCGCCTCCTGAGCCTGTCGTGACGGCGCTCGCGGCCGCGTCGACGTCGGACGATGCGCTCGATGATGCCATGGCCTTCGAGCGCGCGGAATGATAGCGAGCAATCGCTGCATCCACGGCAGCCAGGGGGTCCTTGCTACTGGCCGAGAACTGGAATGTCCTGTAAGGGTCGCTTTTGGCTGCCTTGAAGAAGGCGTGGGTCCTCACGGGAGGGTTGCCCTTCAGGATGAAGGCGGCGACGTAGTCCAAGTGGTTATCCTGCATCTTGAACTTCTTCGACACGGCAGTCTCATCTGGGTTGACATCGACTTCATCGCCGCTCGCGTGCTTGATCTGGCACAACTCCCCCTCCGCGTTGAACAAGGGGTCGTAGCAGCCCGCCACGCGCCAATTGACGCCGCCGTCTGGCTTCGCCCAGCTCTTCACCGCCATCCCCTTGAGCCTGTTGCCGCAAGCTGCGGTCCTCGCCTCGATGAGCCTGGTCATCACTGGCTGACCGCGGACCTCGGGCTTCATCTTCACGTACCCTGGGATCTGCGCGGCGAACTGGAGCATCTCGTTCACGACCCCTGGCTCCGCGTTCTCGGCGCTAGAAACTTGCGCGGCCGTCAAGTCAGTGCGGTTGACAACCTGCTGCAACACGTATGCTGTGTTCTGCTGGTACATGCCCCCGAACGTCGAGAACGGCTTCAGCATCTGATCTGCCTCGACCACCTGTTCCTTAGTATCCTTCATCCTGGCTGTGAGCTTCCCAGTCATGTCTACGACGTGGTCCAGGTCGAGCAACATTGTGGACGTCATCTCCTGCAGCATGCTGACCTTCCCAATCGCAACATCATCCTTAGATCTGCTCCCCGAAGATGGCGGCGTCGGCACCCTGTCGAGCCACGCCGCGACCTGCTTCTCGTAGGACGGCGCTGCCCCGCGGGGCGCGGTGGGAGGAGACGCCGTAGGGCTCGGACCCAGGTGGCTCGACGATCCGCTCTTGGGCACAGCTGGTGGAGGGGGCGCGGCTGGCGCTGCGGCGGGGGGAGCTGCGGGGGCTGGAGGCGCCCCTGGGCTCGCCGCCTTGGCCTCGGCCAGGTGCGCAGCTGCCTTGGCAGACATGTGGCGGAGGCCGGCGCCGGGAAGGCAACAGCGCGAATCACCTCAGAAGAGGGTCTCAACCATAACGGCTAGGGGTCACGAAATTGGACAGCAGGCGCCGCATAATCCTTGCAGCCCTCTAGGGGCCGACGTAATCGGGAGCTCGCTACTCAGACTTGTACTAAACCTATCCTTTCACGCGGACCCCTGAAAGACCCTGCAAAAGCCCCCGCCTGCAACAGCGACGCAATGCCCTGCGCAGACCCTGCAAAAAAACAGCACACACAATCTTACAAGGATCCTCGAAGGTCCTGCGTGCAATACTCTGCGGCCCTGCAATCCCGCCAACCCTCTGGAAGCATATTATCTTGCAACCCCAGGGCCTATGTTGAGCCTTGTTTTAAAGCTTTGGGGGGGGGGGGGCAGCACCTGGCGACAACAAAGCTCGCGCCCTTACCCCCCCCCCCTTCCCCCTCCGTGCCCCAAGACAGCCCAATGAGTACCCCATGAATTCCCCGAGGGTCCTCAGATGCCCGAAGAGTGCCTCATATGATAGCTAGAAGTCATATCGAAGCCGGGTCCCCGAGACGGCTCCAAGAACGACCCGACACTGCTTCGAACTAATTCAAGAACGAGGTGTCGGGCCATGGGGCCAACGCGTACTTTTTAGAGGCTCAGTGCGTCGATGGGTTTTGATAGGCTTGAGCGTTGCTTCAAACGGTGGTCCAGGAGGCTGGACGGATAGTTTTTATATATATATATAATAATAATAATACGAATAATATTACCAAAATACTAATAATACTAATACTAATAATACTAATAAAAATAATACTAATAATAATAATAAGGATCCCTTAATATAAAACGCCAGCATATTCCCACGAGGGCTTGAAGATGAAGATACACGTTGTGCTTGTGTTGTGCCTGTGGTGTGCGTGTTTTTGCTTTGTTTGGAATGCCCGTGGAGTTTGTTGGAGCTCCCTTGAAGGTCGCTTGGGTTTTTTTTTGTAATTGCTTTGGGGTCTAGGCCCCGCCAGTGCATGCTCGGCTGCATTCAGTTTGGCCTTCTGCTGGCTTGCCAGGGCCGCGGCCCGACCCTAACCCGACCCAACCCGACCCAACCCGATCCCCGACCGACCTATCCCGACCCAACCCGACCCGACCCGACACCACCCGACCACAACCCGACATATGACCAAACGACCACGCGCAGTCGACACGACAAGAGCCGTTTTGGCTGAAAGGGGTGCGGTCCACCCAACGCGCGGGCGTGACCCGCCCAGCCCGACCCCAGCGCGAACGCCTGGGAAGGAGGGTCCTCTGTGGCTCATTGTGACAGTGCACATCTTCTTTCTGGAGAAAATCGTCGACAAATCGTCGACGCATCGCCGACAAATCGCCGACAAATCGTGGACAGCTCGTCGACAAATCGTCGGCGACTCGTCGAAAGATCGTGACCTGGCATCGGCGACAGATCGTCGACGGATCGACGCCGGGCCCACCACAGAGCAGCCTCCCGGGCGCTCGAGGGCTGGCTGGCGCACCCCGGCCCCGGTGGGCGAGGGCAGGGGGCGGCGGTGGAGGCGGGGGGCGCCCAAGATGGAGGGGGAGGGGGAGGAGGAGGGGGAGGAGGAGGAGGGAGAGGGAGAGGAGGAGGAGGAGGAGGAGGAGGAGGAGGAGGACGTAAGACTCGGGTACGGGGAACTCAGGTTGGCCCGACGGGGTCATCATGAACTTGACGGGAGCTCATCTGAAATGTGGCGCGAAGTCCCGCTGCAAAAACAGCCCAGGAAAACCGGGCCCTTTAAGATCCAGGACGCGCTCGTAAAAAAAACTTCGGCAATCCCTAGCTCTGTCTTCGTTCCACACCTGCTGCAAGACGAAGTCGAAACGAGAACGGTCCACGAAGTTGCCAAAACACCGCTTGGCTCGAGCCCTGGACTCCATCGCCAGGGCTGACACGAGAAAATCCGACACTTGTTCCGTCGCGGCGCGCGAGATGCAATCCGCTCGCGCGTCGGGGCGAGGCAACGAGAGAGCACGACACAAACGTACGGGTGTCTTGGGTACGCTCTGGACTTCCCCCTGGCGCCGCCCCCGGCGCGCTTCGCGCGCTGTGGGAGGGGAACAAAGGCCCAAGAAACCTGCGTGAGCCCCGGGAGCTTTTTGCCTGATCCGTCCGATTCTCGAGCCGCGCCACAGGAGAGGGGCATCCAGCACCGATCCCAGATACTCGCTCAGACCTCAGCCATACTGTTGAACAGGCAGGGGGCGGGACCGCTCTGGCCTTGGTGACCCACGGTGGTTCTGCGCAAAACTCGGCCTGCCGCATCAGCGCGCTTGCATCACACTTGATGTCGCGCATTGCTTCCATCAGGGCGTGGAGTAGGTGGCAGGAACTCCGCAGGGCCACCATATCAAAAGGCGCGTGTGCACATCACCCTGGTGCGCGAACAACTTCCCTCCGACGCCTGGCGCGAAGACTGGGCATGGAAAGTGCATCACACGGTGGGATTGCACGTCGGGCGGTGACTGACCACCTCCCCGAGGATGGTGAGGCCCGCCCTGGGCCCAAGCTCGGTGTGCACACCCTCCTGTCGTGGCCAGGGAGGCGTGCTCACCGCCAGTGGGCCCGGGAGCCGACTGGCCAGGATCGGCGAGGTGGTCAACTGAGCACAATCAGAGCCAGCTGCGCTGCTTCCGCGGATGGTACTCCTGCAGCGCAGACGTTGGGAGGAGGAGGAGGAGGAGGAAGAGGAGGAGGAGGAGGAGGAGGAGGAGGAGGAGAGTTAGGAGGACCCCATATTGTAATCCTTCAGCGCAAACGTTCTGGGGCTCCTATCGCCTCCGCGCCAAACCATTCTATGAGGGTCCCGATGCTGAGTACCCCAGATGATCCTTCCGCCTCCGTCCCCCTGCCTCTCCTCGTCCCTCTCCAACCTCTGCCATCCCCCTCGTCCTCAAGACTCGCTCCCACTCCTCCCAAATCCGCCAGTGTCTCTCCCTCCTTGTCTCGTCTCTCCTGCTCGTCCTCCCCGTCCTTCCTCGCACATCTGCCCTTCTGGACGTGCCGGTAAGGCGGGACTGGCGTGTCGCCTGATTCTTGCTCGCCATGTGCACCTCCGAAGCTTGGAATTCCCGACAATTGCACGGACGTAGGGCGGTCGTTTTCGAAAAAAAATTAGAGTTCGCCTTCTCGCTTGTCTTAAAAGCTACCTGCATTTACATAAATGGATAGGATCGTTTTCCGATCATGTGTATCTGGCCTGCGCGCCGCGCACATTCAAACACTTGCACTGGCGGGGGAAAGGTGGCTCTCCTAGCGCCGCGCTAACTCGTCGTAAACTTTCAACATGTTCACGGACGCAGGAGAACTAGCTTTCAAACTGTGGCTATCGCTTTAGCGCCGCGCATCGCACTAGCTCCAGGACTTCGCGCTGCGCACTCAGTCTCAATCAATTTCACGGATGGAAGGCGGTTCATCCTCAAACAAATCCGTTACGACTTTTCAGCTCTGATGACCAGAAATCCCAAACCTGTACACCATCTATGCGGATGGAGGGCGGCGCCTTTTCTAATCGGGGCTCTCGCTTGAGACCTCCTGGGGGGACTGCCCGCAGTGAAACGGAATTCTTGTAGGGGCTTCTGAAGAAGGGACTTGGGACGGGCGCGCGCATTGCTGCATCGCTGATGCATCTTGGGTGTCATTGAGGTCCTCCTCCCCCTCCTGCTCCTCATCCTCCCTCCCCTCCTGTGTCTCCTCCCTCCTCTGTCTCGCGCCCTCCATCCTGCCACCCTTCCTCCCTGCCGCATCTGGGGAAACCGAAAGGTACCAATACTGCTACTCCCCAGACCTCTCCCGGGGTGCGTTCTGGCCGGAATTTCGGGGCGAATCCAGCGGTGGTGACGAGGGCCTCCCAGGAAGCCCAAGAGGGGGAAAACGAAGGCAGGGTAGCGGTATGGGTGCCTTTTCTTCATTCGAGCCTCCCCTGCTTGTCCTGCGTACTCCTTCTCCTCCCTCCCCCCCGCTCCCGCCCCAGACGCCCCCCTTCTGTCCATGCTGCCACGGCCAGGAGGGGGCCTCGCGCGAAGTCGGGGCCGCTCTGCAGCCCTGCGCCGCCTGAGCCGTAAAGGGCTGCGGGGCACGGCGCGCGTGTATGAGCCAGGGAGATTAGCCACCAAAGGACCCCTAACCCTGGGCGAGGGACCCAAATTAGGAGGGATACAAAAAGCATTAGGGATAAAGGGGGTCTTTCTTTTGAATGAGTATCACATCGAACCGCCAACTACTATTTGCACCTGACGCAAAGACGGGCACCCAAGTAAGGCCACGTTTCGACTGTGTTATTGGCGTTGGGGGATCTGTCACCCTCGACGACAGGAGGGGGCATGTCAGGCGCACCTCTGGCTTTTTGGGCGCCCGAGTTATCCGGGGTAACTCGGGTCCGGGGTAACTCGGGTTTGGATTCCCGAGAAAGGAACCCGAGTTATCCCTGACCCGAGGTACCCCTGATGATTCGGGGCTCTGGGCGCCCGAGTTATCCGGGGTAACTCGGGTCCGGGGTAACTCGGGTTTGGATTCCCGAAAACCGAACCCGAGTTATCCCTGACCCGAGTTACCCCTGATGATTCGGGGCTCTGAGCTTTCACCCTCATCACTGGGGGCCTTCTTGCAGGGCCGGCCTGTGGCACCGGCCAGACGGCCCTCCGCGGGCCGGCTCGGGGCGCTCCTGGGCGCTCCTGCGCGCCACCGGCAGTCCCCGCGCGCCTTTCCCGGGCGGAGGCCGCGAGCGCGCTGCTCGGGACAGTCATGTCCAACATGTCCTCAATGACTACCTACCAGACCACCCCAACCCAACCCGAAGGCCCGAATTTCGGGTTGGGGGGGGTAAGGGTTCCATACGTGTTTTTTCGACGTTCCCGGACCCCCCCCCACTAGAAATCGAGGGTAAATCTGAGCCTTCGGGTTGGGTTGGGGTGGTTTGGTGGGTGGTGACTCAAGTGGCCCGGGGACCGTCCTGGAGCCCTCCCCTCTTGGGCTGTCCTGGAAGGCCAGGAGGGCAGCGGGAGAGCGGCCCTGGGGGCCAAAATCGTCAAACCCCGTGGGCTCCTGCATGTTTGTCGCCTTCCCGCCCGTTCTGTCTCAGAGCGTCCAGGGCGGACCGAGAGGTGCCCCAGATAAACGGCCCAAGAGCCCGCACGGGGGGCCCAAGACACCCCCAAGATGGCCCCGAGTGGGGCCCAGGATGGGGAGCACGGGCAGACATTTTGGGCTCTCCGCCGCAAACTTGCCAGACACCCCCGGAGTGCCGCCAAGAGGCCCCAAGAGGCCTCTTGGGACGTCTTGGGCGGTCTTGGGCTCTCTGGGACCGCTCGCTCTTGGGCCGCTTTGGGGAGGAACCCGACAAACACAAACATCCCCAAACCCTAGGGAAAACCCGAAAACGGCCATTGCCAACATTGCATCCGGCCGGCCCTCGCCCCTCCCGTGGACCCCTCCCTTAAGGGCTTCGCCCCAACTCAACGTCATCACTCGTGTCTCGCTCTTTCCGTTACCTGCTTGGCATGGGGACGGAAAGCGCATTTACTTTCAGAGCGCGAGGTGTCGCTGGCTTGCCCGTTCTTTCTCCCTGTCTCCCCGTCTGGAGGCTCTCCTGGGGCATCTTGGTGGCATATGGGGCGCCCTCTAGGGCTACCTCGAAGCTGCAGGAGGCCTCTTGATGGGGAACCAGGGCGTGTTGGTATCTTGGGAAGGCACAAAATACGAATGAAGATTTTGATAATACTGTTGATGATCATGACAACGACATACTGTCTCTTGGGAGCATCTTGGGCGTCTCCCAGGCCCTCCTTGGGCCGTCTTGTGGCGCTCTTAGGCCCTCTTGGGGCCCTTCTGGGCCGTCCTCAGGCTCCCCTGGGAGCCTCTCGGGCCGTCATGGCACAATCTCGGGGGGCTCTGGAGCTGTATCGGGCCGTTCTTGCCCGAAAAGGCGAGGAGCTGGAAAACCTTCATAAACCTAAAGGCAACAATGGTGTAGTCGTCCTTCAGCACTTTGGGGGGTCCTCTCGGGTGCCGCTTGGGGTGTCTTGGACTTCTCTTGGGCTGTGTTGAGACCATCTTGGGCTATCGTGGATCGCTCTTGGGCCCTCTTCGGTCCCGTCTGGGACTCTCTCACGCCGTCTTGGAGGTGCCTTAAGCTGGCGAGGAGCTTATGCAGGTAGGGCGGGGCCAAGGGCCACGCCCTGGGCGGGGAAAGCCCTACTTTCGATGTTTTCCCGCTTAGACCGCCCATCGGTGCTTGGGGGGGGGTGTCTTGGAGACCTCTTGAGCCGTATTGAGGCCGTCGTGGGCTATCTGGATCGCTCTTGGGCCGTCCTCGGGCCTGTGTGGGCCTCTCTACGCAGTCTTGGAGGCCGTTGAAGCCGTCTGCATACGTGCAGGTGTTCGAAGACGTCTTGGGGCCGTCTTGGGGGTATCTTGGGCCATCTTGAGGCGATCTTACGGGCTTCTGGCCTCTTGGGTCGTCTTGGAGGCATCTTGGACCGTCTTGGAGGACTCTTGGCCTCTCATGGGCTGCCTTGACGGTGCCTCAAATTGACGAGGACTTTACGCGCTTAAGCGAAGCCTACGTGGAGCTTACGCGGAGCTTACGTTGCAGCCCGTGTCGGGCCCTGGTGTCAAGAACTGGTTACGTCACCGCTCTCTGTTGGGAGCCTTGGTCTTATCAGCTTGTTTACGTCACTGCTCGCTCTTGGGAGCCGCGATGTTCAGGGTCCGGTAACGGTCCGTTAACAAGGACCTCTTTTCCCTGGCAACGGTCCGCTAACAAGGAAAAAAACGCGTCCGTCACCCGATTTTCCCTGTTAAGGGCCCCGTCAACAAGGAAAAGGGTGCCCGAGCGTCCGTCACCTGATTTTCCCTGTTAAGCACCCGATGTTCCTTGTTAAGGGCTCCGTTAGCAAGGACAAGGGATGAATTTTCCCTGTTAAGCACCCGATGTTCCTTGTTAAGGGCTCCGTTAGCAAGGAACAAATGCCCGAACGAAACGTTTCCCTGTTAACGGCTCGTTAACAAGGAAACGGGCGGGCCAATATTTCACCAACTGTTCCATCTAAAGGGCTCCGTTAACAGGGATAAGGGCGGGCCATTAGATCCCATTTCACCCGCGCAGTGTAGAGGTCACCCCTCACACTCCCCCTAATTAATTCTTTCCGGCTAGCGGATCGCACGCCACGCGCGCTTTCTGTCATCCGCCGCCCCCTATTGATTCATCACAGGGGTGCCTGGCGTGCTAGATCCTTTCGGTTTTGGTGTTAGTTCTTTTTCCCAAGGGATGGAAGACGCCTACGGCGAATCACCGCCGCCCCCTGCCTTTTTGGAAGCGCCTATGTGGCCGAACGTTGGGGCATGTGTTCCCCGAGTCGGTTTGGAAAGCCTTCGGGGAACATATGGGCATCTTGAAGGCCATCTTGGCCGTCTGGAAACCATTTTGACACTATCGGGCCTTCTTGGAGGACGTCTTGGAGGGCTCTTGGGCCGTCTTGGAGGCCATCTTGAGCGTCTCGGAGGCCTCTTGGGCCGTCTTGGGGGCCTCTTGGGATCGTCTTGGGCCTCTTGGGCGATCTTTGGGGGCACCTGGGCCGTCTCGGGCCGTCGGAAGGCCGAGCAAAAAGCAAATGCCACAATCCTTGAACAACTCATGGGAAATACTGAATTTTGACCTTTTCGGGCCTTCCTGGAGGCCCTCTTGGAGGCCTCTTGGGCCGTCTTGGGCCATCTTCGGCCGTCTTGATGGGCTCCTAGCCCGTCCGACGCCGTCGGAAGCCGTTTGGGGTGCCTCCTAGGGCGACTTGGGGCCCTCTTAGGGTGCTCCAAGGCCGTCTTGAAGGCTATATTGGGCGTCTTGAAGGCCTCCTGGGCTGTCTTGAGGGCCTCTTGGGGCCGTCTTGGAGGCCTCTTGGGCTGTTCTGGGGCAATCTTGGAGACCTCTCGGGCGATCTTTGGGCGATCTTTGGGGGCTCTTGGGCCGTCTCGGGCCGTCGGAAGGCCGAAAAGAAGCAAATGTTAAAACCCTTCAACAACCGCAGGGAAATCAATGTTCTTGGCCGTTTCTGGCCTTCCTGGGGGCCCTCTTGGAGGCCTCTTGGGCCAGCTTCGAGCCAATTTTGGCAATCTTGATAGGTTCCTGGCACGTCTGACGCCGTAAGGAGCCGTCTTGGTGGCCTCTCTGAACCGGCCTAGGGCACTCTTGGGGCGCTTCGGGGCCGTCTTGGAGGCCATCTTGGGCGTCTTGGAGGCCTCCTGGGCCAGTCTTGGTGCACTCTTGGGGGCATCTTGGGCCGTCACGGGGCCATCTTGGAGGCCACTTGGGCGATCCTTGGGCGATCTTGGGGGCCTGTTGGGCCGTCTTCAGCCGTCGGAAGGCCGAAAAGAAGCAAATGCCAACATTCTTCAAACACCTGAAGAAAAATAATGTGTTTGGCCGTTTCTGGTCTTCCTGGAGGCCCTCTTGGAGGCCTCTTGGGCCGTCTTGGGCCATCTTGGGGCTATCCTACGCAATCTTGGGTACAGCTTGGGGCGTCTTGGAGGCATCTTGGGGCCATCCTAGCCGTCTTGGAGACCATCTTGGCCGTCTTGGAAGCATCTTGGAGGCCATCTTGGGGCCATCTGGGGCAAGAAAACCCTCGGCAACCATCACTGGAAGATCCTGGGCAATCCTTTCGGGTGGCCGGCGGGACGCGCCGAAGCCCCAGGGGGAGTTCTTTTGGAAAAAGAACCAAAACCAAAACCGAAAGGATCTAGCATGCCAGGCACCCCTGCGATGAATCGACAGGGGGCGGCGGACTCCCCATGGGGCTTCGGCGCGTCCCGCGGGCCACCCGAACGGATTGCCCAGGTCTTCCAGTGGTGGTTGCCGAGGGCTTTCCTGCCCCAGATGGCTCCAAGATGACCCAATATGGCCTCCAAAGTGCTTCCAAGACGGCCAAGATGGCCTCCACGACGGCTAAGATGGCCCCAAGATGCCTCCAAGGCGGCCAAAGATGCACCCAAGACGGCCTAAGATAGCCTCAAGATGGTTCAAGACGGCCCAAGAGGCCCCCAAGCGCCCTCCAAGACGCCTCCAAGAGATCCTCAA